CTTAAATAATTTATCTTGTCTTATGAAAAGTTAAGCAATTCAGTAGTAAGTCGTATGAGTATGTGACTTTTGATGTACATTTCAATTTTTGATATTTTAGGGACTTTATGTCCATGAGTTGTAATTTTGGCTTCAAGTGAAGAAGGAGCTATACAGTAAATTACATTCTGTTTGTATTTTATTTCGTATTGAAATGATGGTTTGCTTCTAAAGACCACATCTTACTAAGTTTGGTGATCATATTAATTTTTTAGATCTGAAATAGTAAATATTTGCACTCCCTATTTCATAGCTATACAGTACAATTGAATGGACAGATCTAATTGATGGTAATGGGTGTAATTAGTGTTGGTAATCAGTAGTAAATGGGCCTGATTATCTGAATCAATGAATTTCATATGCCATGTAGGTCAAACTGATACCATGTAGCTTTTCCCAGAAATTGTTTTTATTACTTTCTGACTTCACAATGTTGCCTATTCCTTTGTTACACGTTAATTAGCTTATCCATTTTGCCTTTTATAGGCTTGGTTTGCAGGAGAGAAAATTGGTGAAGGAACTGGTAAAACAAGAAGGGAAGCTCATTTCCAGGCTGCTGAGGGTTCTCTAAAAAACTTAGCCAGTAAGATTCCTTATTGCTGTATTTATTGCCACTAGCTAGGGGGCGATATGTCTCAATAATTCTTGTCGTGCCTCTTTTAGTAGTTCTTATACTGGGAAATTAGTGCTCAACAACCTGAACTTGATACTAGAGCAGTGATAAAACAAGTTGACAACTAATTGATTTTGACATGTGAAGCCCACCTCAAGGCTAATATTCTATTTGCTTATTTTCTTTCCGAATGAATTAAATGAGGGCAAAGAGTTCTAAGAAGTTCTGTCCTTGACTGTTCAGCCACAAACGCTACAATCTCTTAACTTACGATGGAAAAGGATATTGTAGAATACTAAGTCAATATATGACATATTTTTAAGATCTATCTTCTACTTTGCTTTGATCACATGTTTCTGATATCAGCTAAATATTGTGAACTCTCGAGTCGCTGATATAATCATACTGGAGCTGATCTTAGATGATTATTCTGCTCAACAAAGTGCTTTTTTAGCAAAAGTCATGGATGAAGGATTGAGGGGTTATTTTGAACTTGTCAGCTTTCCATCAGGGGTTAAAGATGCCAGTCAATCAATTTTGAAAGTTTTGAAGTGTACAATTAACTGTTAGAACAATATGAACCTACTGGCCGAGGAACTACTGAGCCAAAACAAAGTCAACTTGCTTATGAAATTATTGCACAAAACAGGATCTGTACTAGGGAATATTGGGTTGGCTTGGTTCTGTTCATAGATCGGAAAGTATTCTTGACATATCTCTAGTTTCCCTTTTTTATTGTGTGTATATGAGAAACCTGGACGACGTTTTTGCAGATATATACCTTTCCCGCGTCAAGCATGATTCTGTGCCTGTTCAAGGGGAAATGAGCAAGTTTCCTAATGTTAACAACAATGGTTTTGTGGGTAATGCGAATTCTTTTGGGATCCAGTCATTTCCCAAAGATGAGTCCCTTTCATCTTCATCAGAGTCTTCTAGGCCACTAGACCCTAGGCTTGAAGGCTCTAAAAAATCTATGAGTTCAGTATCTGCCCTCAAAGAACTTGTAAGACTCAAAACATAATAGTTTGCTAGTCTCTCTCTTTTTTTCTTCCTTATTTGCAGGTGCTGAATGATGTTATGATTATTGACTTTCCATAATTTTGTACTATTTTAGTGTATGATGGAGGGCCTTGGTGGTGTAGTTTTTCAACCGCGACCTCCACCCTCAGCTAATTCAGTCGAGAAAGATGAAGTGCATGTACAGGTTTGTATTTGCCATGATTACATGCTTCATTATTCTGAATGACATTTGAATTTTGTGTTGGAAGTTTCTACATTTCATCGTATAGAATTGTAGAACACTGCCCTTCACAGAATTCCTGAGGAAACTCAGTTAAATGCTGAAAGAAATACACAAAAATAATTTAAGAACTTCAGATTCAGATCACAATATCTATTCTTCTTAATTTGAATCTGAAAGCAGACTCCCTTTGAGATTGGGTGTTTTTTTCATGTACTGGATATAGAATAATGCATCCTCCACTTGGTTAATCAATAAAGAAATTAAAAGGTGGTGTGAGGGAAAAGTTAGAACTGGGGGTTTGAAAGTTGTTTTCGGGGTTCAAGAAAAATAATTCATGAGCTCTGAGAGTTTTTGTTTGGGCCATCAACTTCCAGACGATGGCTGTAGTGAGTACGAATCATTTCTTGTTCATGCTTTCCAGAAGTGTCGGTACTGACTGAATTTGGAGCTGTATGATTTTTTGTGGACAATCTTTCAGTAACCTTGATGCATGTTTCTTTTCTCTTTCTTATCTTTATAATTCCGTGTTGTTATCATGTTACAGGTTGAAATAGATGGAGAGGTTCTGGGGAAGGGGATTGGGTTGACGTGGGATGAGGCTAAGATGCAGGTAATTTTTCTACTCTTCCAATTCCGAGTACCCTTCGTGGGGTCTTAATTCTTTTCGAAATTTAATATCTGAGCACCTAAACAACCTTTTCCTTAGGCTGCTGAAAAAGCGCTCAGAAGTCTAAGATCAACTCTATTTGCTCAGAAACGTCAGGGTTCTCCAAGGTGTGTGAATTCATCAGCTGCAAGCGTTTAATTATTTTAGCCAGTTTTTTATTGAAGTTTGAACTATGGCTGGATCAACCATCCCCGAAAGCTAGCCAATATTTCAGTTGTCTCTATTTCATCGCTCTTGGTGCACATGACATGAAAGCTCTTGCAGCTTTGATTAGTTGTACAGCTGTGGCCAACAAACTAGAACTTATGTGTATTCTTCCCTTCTAACTTGGTGTTTCTGGCAAAAAAGGTCTTTCCAAGGGATGCCAAATAAACGTATGAAGCAGGAGTTTCCACAAGTTGTGCAACGGATGCCCTCTTCTTCTAGATATCCGAAAAATGCTCCGCCAGTTCCCTGAAAGTCATACCACCATTTCATCCCATTTTGGTATAGCTACTGAGGCAACATGTCTGCCGTACATATTATAGAGAAGGGCGAGGACCATGGAGAGCCCAAACCTCTTACAATGCAGACGAGATTGAGCTTGCAGCTTCGTTCCAGATTCTTCTGAAAGAACGGGGAGGTGCTTGTGAGGCGACTACAGTCCTAACATTCTTGGGGTTTCCAGTCATTGTTGTAACGATTTCCTCCCCCCCAACCAAATGCTTATAAGCCTCCTCGCACATTTACCGAAGGCAATGCCGTGTAACTCCTTTTTTGTGTGGTTGATGCATTTCTTCCCTGACCTTTGAAAGAGCCTATTTAGGTCGGATTGACAGTGTATTGATGTTTATTTACCGGAAGTAAACGGGACAAAGAGGCTTCGAGGGCAGCTTTTGGCTATGCTCAAAGTCGCGGATATGTAGTCACGGTACACTCTAACCATTGACAGTTATTTCAGTCCAATTGCCAGTTTTCTTTCAGTGTCCATCTCTGAAAAGATTAGGTCCTAGAAAATGTCCATTTCCGGATATGTTACCTGAGGTGGAACGGCTTACTGATGTAAATCAAGCTAATGTAAAATGGTTCACCCACCGCCGACGGAATGGAAATTTTTGTACCGGTATTCCGTTTGTTGGTACTTTGATGAATCTGGTAGCAACCTCGCATAAGCGCAGGGTGCGGCACGAGCACAAAATAGAAACGTCGGGACATACCGTCACGCGAGGAGAGAGATAAACAGAAAGGGGTATACGCATGCGACATGTTGAGTAGAGTGTGCAAATCGGTTTGTTGCTAGTTGGTGCTTTTGCTTTGAAATTGACTCAAGTGGTTACCAAACATCCATCATAACATAATGCAAATTTGATGTACATGTCTTGCCAATTAACAAATTTATTTCGTCATTCTATTTTTCTTCTACAATTGATATTCGTTTGTTAGTTGTATGCATATGGATCTTGGTGCGGGTTCGATTCCTACTAATTCCCCGTCCCTAACAACTAACTATTGAACTTAAGAAAGTTATTGCTCAATTGAAAAAAAAAAAATTTGTATGCAAGAATTTGAATTTGGTGTATATAGTGGAGCACATCCGCTCAAGTTAATATAACCATCTACAATAGTGTAAGTTGATTATGTACATCAATTACCCAATTATGTAGTGTAAAAATGCTAGTACTGAAGATGAAAATTGACCCCAAACAATTTTTTAGTAAATTAACCCCTAAATTATTTGAAATCAACCAATTAACCCTCATGGTCAGAGTTGATAATCATCCATTTTGCCATCAAAACTGGCACAACTTTACTCTTTAGAGTGAATCATGTGCACGTAACAGAATTTACCAGCAAAGTGGATAAAATTTCATCAAATATGACAGTGAGAGATTAATTTGCTAATTTCAAATAGTTTAGAGCATCTCCAAAGGAGATGTCAAAATTGCCACGTAGGCATACAACAGTAAAAAATGGACTCACGAACCTTCAATTTCTTACGTGGCGCTGAGTCATTTGAAGGCAAAGCTTTTGCTGTCAAATTTATTAATAATTCTTTAATAGATTAATATAATATATAATAAATGTTGTTATGTTTTTGAAATATTTGATTGGTTGCCTTATTTATTGAACTTCCCAAAAAGATAAAAAAAATTATTAAATGATATTATTATTTAACATATCGGGTGGAGCAAGATGTTGTACAAACTGTCAAATTGCCACATAAGTTATCAACTATCATTTTGATATTTAAAATTTAATATCTCTTTTGGAGATGCTATTAGAAGATTAATTTACCGAAAAAATAGTTTAAGGAGTCAATTTCAATTGGCTACTAGCCAGGGATCCAACGGCAATTTACTCTCTTCTATATTTCAGTCGCCCACCTTCTCCGTTAACTATATAAAAAGGGGGAAAAGGGTCAAAAAAAATAGAGCTCCTTCCATCAAGTTTCCTCCCATTCGATACATTTCCACTGAAATCCTCTTCGGACAGAAAGACAGAGAGGGAGAAATCACCACCGCGAAAAATGGCTTCCTTCGACGCGTTCAGCATGGACGGCGACGATCTCCACGCCCCCAACAGCCACTTTGACCAGGACGATGTCGTCGTCGAGAGCTACGCTGACTACGGCTCCTACACTGACCCCGCTGCCGCCGCCCCTGCCTCCCCGGATGTTTTCGGATTCGAAGATCCCAGCCCCAACTACTCCCACTCCACTCCTTTCGATTCCGTTCCCGTTGAGAACGGCAACGGCAATGGCTACGGCGTCGGCGAGAACGGAATCGACGATGGCGTCTTCACATCGGACGGTCCCGTGCTCCCGGAACCTAGCGAGTTTGTCGAGGAAGGTGCAGCTCTTCGTGAGTGGCGCCGGTAAGATTCGGATCCGATTCGCTTTTTTTTTGGTAAATTTAGTTGCTTGCTTTGTGAGCTGCTGCTTCAGATCTGTGAAATTCTGCATCTTTAGGGAAATTGCATCCGTTTGATCTTAGATTTTGAGCTAATTGTAGGTGTTTGTATGGAAATACTGTTGGATCTGTGATTTATTGTAGTTATGATCACTAGAAGGTATGGAAATGTTAGTTCTTTAGTTGCGATTTTCGGTAAGTCATTGATCAAAGTAAAGCTTTGTGATTGTTAAATTCGTGCTGTATTTAAACATATAGATCAGCTGTTGATAGTGTGTTTGTGTAGTTTGGAGCTGCTTGTAAACCAAATTGTAGTGCTTTTCAAGTCAAATTTAGTGTGTGGGAATGAGGGTTGCTATTGATTTTCTTGGATCTGAATCTGATTGTCAGAAGGAAAATATCTGTTTAGATAATCATATAAGAATAAGTTCTTTATTTCGTTGCTAGAGTTAGTGAGTTATGTGATTTAGTTTGATTTGAGGGTAATCAAACTTCATCTGAGTTTTAATCAACTCGTTGACAAACAAGGGTGGTTCAGTTTTTCCAACGAATCCAATGGGATGGTCGTTAGGAAAAAAGTCTTGGGTATAACAGTTGAACTACAAGAAACCAATAATGAAATAACATGTTATCGTTGTTGACGGGACTCAGTATCATTTATTAGCGGAATCTATGTCATTAACATCACGTAGATTCGACAACTTTTTAAATAGCATGATAATGTGGCAGCACTGTGTTACTTGAGACTTTACGGTAAGTTGATCGTAGTCATTTGATCATACTTCCGAAAAGAAAAAAAACACAAAGATAATGACAAGTTGATAGTAGTTTTTTCCTTCAGTGATATGTGCACGCATTGGTCGATCTGCACAGAAAACTACAAGTTAACTAGTGGTACTAGAAAATTAATGCCCTAACTTGACTTTTGTGGTATAGTCAAAATGCAATCCTACTTGAGGAGAAGGAGAAGAGGGAGAAAGAACTGAGGAACCAAATTATTGAAGAGGCTGAGGAGTTCAAGCATGCATTCTACGAGAAAAGGAAGCTTAACGTTGAGACCAACAAGGTCGAGAACAGAGAAAAGGAGAAGGTAAATATTGGAATGCCTTTATTAACTACTCTTTTCATGACACCAGCTTTGGTTTTTTGTTCCTAACACTAACAGGTTGGTTTGTGCGTTGAGCAGTTATTCTTGGTTAATCAAGAGAATTTCCATAAAAATGCTGACAAGCAAAGTTGGAAAGCAATCGCGGAGCTCATTCCTCACGAGGTTCCCAACATTGAGAAGAGGAGAGGCAAGAAGGACCAGGAAAAGAAACCAGGGATCCAAGTCATTCAGGGCCCAAAGCCTGGAAAACCCACTGATCTTTCGCGTCTGCGGCAAATACTCGTGAAGCTGAAGCATAAAACTCCACCTCACATGATTCCACCCCCACCCGCTCCAGCCAAAGACGCCAAAGACGCCAAAGATGGGAAGGCTCCTGCCAAAGATACCAAAAATGTAAAGGATGCAGCACCAAAAGCTAATGGGTCTGCAGAAGCTGAGGTGCCTGCTTCAGAAGCCAAGGATGCCACCTCCAATAGTTCTTCAGATGCACCCGAACAAGCCGCTCCGGCACCTACTGAGGAACTCACTGCTTGATTTGATTCCTTCCGTATTTTATTGATCGATTTTATTATTTTTGAGATTCTAATTAACTATCGGCTACGTATCGCCGGATTCATTTGCTACCGCTTATCAGAATATTGTAATATTTGGCTTTTGAGATTTGGAATTTTCATTGTTTACACACATTTTATGAATATTACTTTTTTGGACCAGAGCAGCGTCTTTTTGGGTCAGAATTAGGAAAAAAGAAGTCTTTGGGTATAAAGTTTGAATTTAAATTTGTAGATTCCCTCAACCATGATACATTTGATCATCTTGTTTAAATATTTACGGATTTAGTCAAGTTAGTTAGAAAATTGTGTTTTCATTTCTGCATTTAAGTTTGGAACCCCATTCTTGAGTTTACAAATATTGTATTGTCCGAAAATTTCCATGGCTCTTTTACAAATACGCTTCTTAAAACTTTCTTAGACCAAAAAATATGAAGTTCCATGTCGAAAAATAAAAATGAAAACCCTCAAACCCAACTATTACGGCATCCGACATTCTTGCTTTGGTCAAAAACGCTCAAAACTTTGTTATATGTTTTTTTTCCTTCTTGTTTGATTCTTGAAGTGTTTCCCGTTAATATTAACCGTCATCCTGGCTACACAAATCAAGTACTTTTCGGTATCTCAAACAAGCCCTACTCAACACGGCTAATAAAAAATAAAAAATCGTCTAAAAAAGTTAACGAAAACAACGGTATAAACCGTTGAATGATTTGTTGTGGATATGCAGATAATTTCACCTTCCTCCTATGAATTGCAATTACATTTGTTCTTCAGCGAGGTGTTACTTGGGTTATGGTGTCGGGGACGGAAGTCATCTGATAGGTAGTGGTTTCGGAACCTGATTTTTTACTCGAAGGCCCGCTTAGGCTCTCCGCGCTGTTGAAGAAACCCGGGGCTGTAAGTTGGTTCTCGTTGATTCTGATGTTTCTCGAGAGCATGTCAACAACCTGGCTCATCTTTGGCCTTCGGCTTGCTGCTGCTTGGGTGCAGAAAAATGCCACCTTCATGTACCTAAGGAGTTCTTCCTCGGGAAACTCTCCCATTTCCCGGTCAGCTAGCTCCAACAGTCTCCCTTCTTCATGGAGCTGCCATGCCTAGTGAAGAAACGAAAGAGTTGTAAAAGAAAGCGGAATAAGACTGCGAGTATGATCATGGAAAAGAACGTAAATAGAAACTGAAACAGGTACAAAAAATAATAAGAACTCAGCTGCTATAAAGGCATACAAAAATCGCAGTATATAACTGCGCATATGATCATGGAAAAAATGGAATGAATCTGATGATGCCAAGAGTTTTGTCGAAAAATAGAAATAAACAACGCACCCATTCGAGCAGAAACTTTTCTGTCCCACCCCAGTTTCCCTTGGCACTGCTTCCGCCGCATACTATTTCAAGAATAAGAACGCCAAAACTGTAAACGTCGGCCTTGAAGGTTAACTGACCTCCCAATGCATATTCTGGTGCCAAATAACCACTGCAAAACCAAAACCAAATCATAAGCAGCTAAATTCTCACACTTATCACATAATCTCTCTCTATAACGATTGAATTAAGCGAGGAAAACAGTTACGATGTAACAGAATCTCCTAACTGGTTCAATCATGGAAAATAGAAGGTCAAATAATGAATAGCAATCAACAAGAAATATGAAATAACGTACGTTGTTCCCGCAATCCTTGTGCTGATATGAGTGATGTTGTCAGGGAAGAGTTTAGCCAACCCAAAGTCTCCAATTTTCGGGTTAAAATCTCCGTCTAAAAGTATGTTACTAGCCTTGATATCTCTATGTACAATATGTGGCACCAGTTCTTCGTGAAGATACGTAAGACCCCTGGCAGTACCCAGGCAAATGGCTGATCTTTTTTCCCAATCCAGTTGGATGGTTCTACTCGTTGGACCTACAAACAAAACGAAAACAAATTAGACTTGTAAATCCATCCTTGTGTATACGTACCTTCAGTTTTCTTTACATGCTAAAGAATTTCTCCAATTACCTAATAGCGCATGATCAAGGCTTTTATTTTCAACATATTCATAGACCAAAACTCGATCGGCTCCCTGAACACAGCACCCAATCAACTCAACAAGGTTTGGATGCCGGACATTTGAGATAGCGTTGATCTCATTTAAGAATTCACGGACTCCCTGCTTCGACCGAGCAGAAAGTGTCTTGACAGCAACATGCTTTCCACTTTTCAGGATCCCCTAGCAAAACGTAGCAAAACAACTAAGATAATATGAAGTGCCACAGACGAAAACCATCTACGTATTCTGATTAATGCAAAATCATTATTATAGTTTGTCCTTTGAAAATTAAGACGGCTTTTTAGCCAAAATGGTCTCTACGATTTGTATAACTCCTCATTTTGATCCTTAAGATTTGAAATCGATAGAATTGGTCCCTTAGTTTGTTCACAATCAATCATTTTGGCCCTTCCATGAAAAATCTCCATAAAATAAGGATAAAATGACAAAAATACCCTCAATTTTTGTCAAATCATTTTGGCCTATTGTTTATTGTATTGATGGTAATTTTATCATTTTGATCCTTATTTAACATAACTTTTCACTAAGGGACCAAAATGGTTGATGATGGACAATCTTAGGGACCACTTCTATTGATTTCAAATCTCAGGGATCAAAGTGAGGTGCTAGGCAAATCTCATGAACCATTTTGGTTAAAAAGTCAATTAAGACCAGCAAGGAAAGCTTGGAAACTGTGTTTAAAAGTCACAGAATTCAATCCAAATTGGTAGCTAGCATTCTTAATCACCACATGATCTAAAGCAAAAACAAAATACAAGGAAGATACAAAATCCTTTTTCTTTTTTCCTTTTTTTCCTCAAATCTTGAACTACAGGTGAGAGTTTTCACCATACGAAACAATGCATCTATGTGTTAGAAAAACAGAAGGATAGAACTTGAAGCGTTCTTAAAACGTAAACCCAATTCCCAGTGTCAGCTATCAGGTTTTAAATGCTTGATGTTTTGAGCCAACTCATTGATCATTGCGACAGATTGGAAACAAAACAACATAATTCAAACCACAGATATCATGAATTCTCAAAAAATGGTGCAAACTTCCCAATGGAACCAATTACAAGACATCTGCAGAATCTGAGTACCTTGTATACAGTTCCAAAACCTCCTCTCCCTATCTTATTACTCGAATGGAAATTATCCGTCGCCAATCTTAATTCGTTGTAGGAGAAAGCCTTGGTATTCTCCAGCAAATTCTCTATGCAACACACAAAACAAACAATCAATCACAATAACAACGATGATCCAGCCGATTAGCACGAACAAAGACCAAATATGGAGGTAAAAGATGTAACAAAGCCAAAGAGCGTGGAACAATTTATTCATGTCCGTACCATCCTGATCACGGCCAAATCGACCAGAACCAGAACCCTTTTTCCTGTGAGCAGCTGAAGCACCGAAGCAGCTGCAACTCATATTAATTTGTCCACAATAATCAAATTCTGCCTTCTGGGTCCTCACAAATTTTCAGAAAAACTAGCTCCCTTCGATCATAGAGCCTTCCTAATCAGATTTGGACCGACCCATGTTGCCAAAATCCTAAATTTCACAATAAAAAATCACAAAAACTTCATCAAAACACCAAAAAAATGAAACTTATTAAGCTTCCAAAAGTTGCAACCAAGAAAATCAACAAAAAAAGAAAGAAAAAAAAAACCCCACCTGGTGGATTTGCAGACTACTGATCAAGTTTCGATGTCCCGAATCCTTTTAGCATCTGTTTCTGGCAGCAGCTATGGAGAGCGAGAGAGAGAAAGATTCAATCTTTGTAATATAAAAAAGGAAAGGAAATGGAAAATGAGAAAGCTTTAGTGCCCGTCTCTCTTGGTTTTAAAAATCACGAGTCGTAGAGGCGCACGAGGTGCTCTGTTTTCTGTGTTTCTTAATTGGGCGGGTGGAGTCGCTGCCGGTGCTCAAAACTTGAAAGCGACCATTTTTCTTCCTTCCCTCGTTTTTTTTTTCTTTGTTTTTTTGGCTCTAATTTCTTTCCCTCTATCTGTGTGTTTATTTGACTACTCATATAGTCATAAATTGCATCATTAATCATGCCTCTGTTGTCAACTAGATGGCATCATTTTTCTTTTTTTCTCTGCTCACAATGACATCATTATTCATTTTTTTTTCTCTTCTATTGGAACATCGATTTTGGTTATTTGTCTCGATTACGTATTATTTAAAATTTCAGATAAGTATAAAAGTAGTCTATTTCTGCTAGATTTTTTTCACTTGATATATACAGTGGCGAGTTTTCTCTTCTCTTGCGAGCAAATGATTATGAAAAATTAAATTGATTCTTATTTATTTTCATTCTTTTGAAGAGTATTTTTTTTATGACTTAGAAAATGATTTTCCTTTAAGTAATGTTGAATAAGTTCATTGTTTCTTTTTGCTACACAAGTTTTGAACAATTTTTTTTTTGGTCCACGAAAATAATAATTCTTTCTTTGAATCATAGTTTTGAATAATTAAACGGCTCATAAATATATAGCAACCAAACAAAGTAGATGAAACTAGACTAATTAAGGCACTTTACAGCATGCAGCAGCAGTGCCATTATTAATCCTTTTTCTCTCTTTCTAACCTCGTGCATTTTTATCCCATTCAAATACAGGCAACAACAGGCGAATGTGCATTGAGATCAAGGTAGTCTCAGGATCATTTCGATTTTAGAAAATATACACGTGAAGGTTTTTTGAGGACCCTCTGAATGTTTGGTAATAGTTTTTTGGTGTCCTGGTGTGTTTGATTTAATGTCTGTTAAGCATATCTCGACAAGTTGCATCAACAGCAATCGACAAACTCTCTCACTATCATTCATCAGGTTGCTGCGATATATGTTGATATATGTTGACATGTGGCAATATGATTTGGCTAACGACAACAAAACCACCAAATATTCGAAAAAAATGACTCAGTGAATAAATTGTTTTTTTTTTGTGCGCTTCGCGCTTTGTTTCTATCTAGAAAATTTGAACCTTAACATCAAGTCCCTACAAAGTTTGAATCTTAAATCTGCCACTACATGAAACTAGTCTATACTTTTTCGTATGAAACCAAGGAATTCAAATGTAAATGCACGGCTTTTTTATTTTAGTATTTAATGGTGGAGTTAATCAAGATTTGATCACTATTAAGGCGTGTAAAAGAAATTCCTTATATTGATCACAATATTTTCATCTACATATTTCACAACGAGTTCTCATATTTTGCAGGACAATCTCAGATTCGCTGTCCTAGAGATAATCTAAGCCCGAATGCAATGTGAACGCAAAGGGTGCTCGACTTCAAAGTCAAGGACTCAATGGCTCCATGCATTTGAAAAATATGTATGTCGTATTTTTTGTGAAGTATGTTTCCACTTAAAAAGATCTGCTGCCGCTTGTTGGGGTTCGATTTTTCAACGGCCGGCTTGGAGAATAATTTGATGCGTCTTCCACCACAAAATATAGACATAAAAAATGAGATGTTATATATGCCATACAATTTAACGTGTTTTTTCTGCTGTATTTTTGTATATGAATGCATAATCTTTGTTGACGCTCATACTGTAACACGTTGTACTACAATATAAAACATAGACACTGAATTGTTAAAAAATATTTATCATAAATTTTTTAATCGGTGATGTCATGAAATTATGAGCGAGTTGATAATCCGTACATCAAAGTATAATTGCATGTATATGCACATCCATCGCTTTACAGTTTAAGAACATCTCCAATAATAGTGTTAAATTTATGCTATTAAGTGAATAGTGTAAGAAAATTAATTTATCACCTTCGACAACGCTTTCTGTTTTAACAATCACTTAACCCCTCTCTCTCTTCCTTTTTTTTTTTTTGTCCATAACTCTTCTTTCTTTGATCAATCGTCTCAAATTTAATTTGTTCATTTAAGATCTCATTGGCTCGGTCTTCATCGTCGCAGCTATCGATCGTGACTCCATTGGTGGTTATCCTCGAGTCTACCATCCTAGGCCTTTTCATATTTACCTCCATGTCTTCGTGTCGTCGTATCCACCAATCCAGCATCTAAGTAAGGAAAAGTAGCGAAATAATATTAGTTTATGTTAGCTAGTTAGCTTGTAAATTTCTCTTTCTTGCTAAATTTAGCGTGACTGTTCATCAAAGTAAAATAGCGAACCTTTTAGCGAAGCTGTTGGAATGACGTTTTATGCATTTTTTTCATTAAAATATCGAAACAACGACATTTAGTGAGAATGTTGGTGATGGTCTTAGTGAGTTAACCCAATTTCCACGTCCAAGCTCATGCTTCCCCATTACCTATATGTCTGCATTATATTCAAAAGTTGCTTTGACTTGATGGATTTTTGGCTTCAGGCCGTCAGTGTTGTCAAATGACATAGCCGTAGACGTTTAACATGCTGTAACTGATAAAATTCATTGTTCTGAACGATGTTATTTTAGGAATTGAATCCTCTCTTGAGCACAAGCCTAAAATCCTGCTGATCAGTTCACGTGAATCGTTGGATTTTGATCAAACGACTACAATTATTATAATTTTTAGAAAGATCCTCTATGCTCACCTGTGATGGTTAGAGGATCCTGAGTTTGTGCTCATGAGAGGATCCAATTCCGTTATTTTAGGAAGGGTAAGATTTTATGATAAAAAGATATGACTCGTTTGAAAGTATTTTTAAAATGACTAAAAACACTTTTGGTTAAAATGATTTTGGAACCATCGCTAGTAAAAATGTCAATCACGTGCTTCATGTATGAAACATTTTAAATGCTTTTGAAACAAACAAATATTTTTCTTTAAAAGCGTTTTTCAGTTATTTTAAAAATATTTCCAATTGAGTGCCTAGTGGATAGAAACACGTTAAAGCATATAAAAATGAGAGTTTTAACGAAACACTTCTGGTATTGTTCATTTTTAACGAAAATGACATTTCTACTCTAAAAAGTTATTTTTTGTACCATTCAGTTACAATACATTTCCGTCATTTTGATTAAAACTCAAAATTTCAAACTATTTTCATTAGTTTTCCTTATAAAAATAGTAGTGTTAGACAAAGAAGCACATCAGCAGCACAACAATGTCTCCTCCTTTCCCAATCGGGCCAAGAAAGATAAATGACAGATACCATTTGCTGTCGACACCTCCCTCCCCATTTTTTAAAGAAAATATTTTTGTCCAAGTTATACACGATTTTGCTAGCTACGCATGGTGGGTAGGATGTGCCCTTCTAACCTTCGGTATTTAATTTTCATTAAATAACGATTTTAAAATTGTGCTTAGTACTATCCATTAACATATTTTCCCTTTGTTAGTTTGTGTATTTGGGATCATTTTCTTTTCTTACAAAAAACGTCACTCATATGACCACAGATTCAACAAGCAGGACTCTTGCATTGGAGAAATAGGTCTGAATATTATATCGTTAATTATAATTTTTTTTTAGAATATACTGTTCGTTAATGTTTTGAACTCCGATTTGACTAATATTTTGTTAAGATAGTTTATAAGATGCAACTTGAAAAATACATAATTCAGATCGATGAATTTCAATGTGAATTGGACTCAATCTCTATTTTTTGAATTCATTCCCTTAAAAAATCTGTATATGTACATAATTATATGAGTGTGTATATGCGCGTGTGTGTATATATGCACATGTGATTTGTCAACGTATATGCCTGCATTTGATTAATTTGTCTGCTGCCGCTTGTTGGGGTTCGATTTTTCAACGGTCAGCTTGGAGAATAATTTGATGCATCTGGTGATTTTTCCCTTTGTTGGTTTGTGCATTTGGGATCATTTTCTTTTCTTATAAAAAACGTCACTCATGTGACCACAGATTCAACAAGCAGGACTCTTGTATTGGAGAAAGTCGTAGGTCTGAACGTTATATCGTGCGGATGCCCTCTAAAGAATTTGTGTGTTGGTACGTTGTATGATTTGATAAGTGACGTAATTGATTATGCAAACTCAAGAATTTGACTACAGGAATTTTTGCCCAATCCCCAAAAACCCTTGTGCCAAAAGAATTCCCAAAACCTTAGGCCTACAAAGAAAACTTTAACGAAAAATTCTCGGTATTATTCATTTTAAAAAATTATATTTTTACACTAAAAAATTAATTATAGTACCATTTATTTGACCCTTTATTTTACCTTTATAATTAAAACTAAAAAATTTCAAATTATTTTCATTAATTTTTCTGTTAAAAAAAGCTACGAAGACAAGATGTTGACAACACCCATAAAAAAAAAAAAAATTCCAACACCACCAACACCTGGAAATTGGGTTTTGGAATCATATGCCTTTATCAGCCACCCAAAAACCCTAAAAAAATATCAATCAAAATCGCCTCAGGCCTGCCCTCAAAATCCAAAAAAGAAAACAAAATCCAATTCCAATCCCCCAATCCAGTCTCCCTCTCTCTCTCCTCTCTCTCTCTCTCTCTCTCTCACAACAATCAACATATTCAAACATACACACACTAACCCCACTACTCTCTCTCTCTCGCTTTCCACAGTGATTTCTGTCGCCTTCAATTACGACTTTCCGCCACTCACATTCTTCTCTCTCTCTCTCTCTCTCTCTGCTTTGTGATTCCTTGTATATATAGTTTTTTAGGGTTTTGGGGTAATGAGTCAAGTGAAGGACTCTGACGACGAGCCTGTAGCTCACTCCCTTGAGATCGATAAGCCCGAAACTGGGAGTGTTGAGAGCATCGGAGGAGGAGAAATCGAAGAGGAAGACCCGGTGGACAAGCCCGACGACCCCATGGACGAAGACGCCGCCAGCCCCGCCGCCGTCTTCTGTATCAGGCTCAAGCAGCCCAGGTCCAATTTGCAGCACAAGATGAGCGTCCCCGAGCTTTGTCGCAATTTCAGGTATTTTTTGAAATTCCAGCTCCAGTTTGTTTTCATTGAATTATGCAGCTTTTTTTTGTGTGGGGGTGGTGGGCATTTGATTGAATTGTGTTTACAATTTTGGTTTCGAAGCGGTTTACAAATAAAGTGAATAGAATTGTATGTTTGAACTCTGTAGTTGTGTGTTCATGGAGAAAAATTCTGAATTTACTGAAATGAGACAAGAAATTGTTGTTATATAGTGTATACTGAGGTGGGAAGGAGAGAGAAGAAGTTGAATTTGAAATGTGGAGAGAGAAGTATTGATATTGGGGATTCTATGGCTGGTCATTACCGAAATTTTAGGTCTTTATTGATTTAGTTACGCCATTGCCCTATGAACCTTTGCCAGTTGATAACTTTCCATGATGTGAATAAAGGTGGACATAAGAATTTTGAGTACTGGATAGTGGCTACTTCATTTTGACAACACTGGAGAACTTACCACCTCTCTACACTGCGTAATTCGGTTGTTAGTTTTATTAACAATTACTCGCCTTAGTGTGAGAGGCGTAGGGGTTATCAGCTTCATAATGGCCAAGGTAACTAGAAATCTGAAAATGAGAAGCATAATGGAAAGCTAGTTGGAAAATATATTACTTCCTTATTACCATGACTCTGCTAAATTGCCCTGGACATCTTACATTTATGTTTTAAGTTACATACAGAAGATTTGGCTTTATTGTTTGTTTGCCAGTGCTGTTGCATGGTGCGGGAAGCTGAATGCCATCGCTTGTGCATCCGAAACTTGTGCAAGAATTCCAAGGTTGGTTTTCCTTGTTTATGCTCACTTTTTTCTTAGTCTCATGAAATGTGGGATTTATTCTGTTATGACAATGTGCTTGATTATGGAACCTACCATTTATTTTTGCTTAGTTGGACCTCAAAAAGCACTATGAAAAGAAAAGGACGAATCTCTCAAGAATGTCTAAGAATTGTAGCCTGGCTTTTAAAAATAGAATGTCTTTCCTTCTTTCATATAAGGTCCAATTGGAGAATCAAGGAATGACTTGAGTTTAAAAACCTAGGCAGCCTGGTTGGTGGGGATTAACCTTGCTTAAGTTTGCCCTATATTTTATTTTGTTTTCTCCCTTGTTATTAGTTACATCGGCATACAGTTATGACAATTCTTCTTGTTATCGACTTTTCTGTAGTTCTAATGCAAATGCACCTTTTTGGATTCCCATACATATCGTGATCCCAGAGCGACCAACTGAGTGTGCAGTGTTCAATGTGAATGCAGGTACTTAGATGAGCTATTTGATTTTATAAGAACCTTTGGTTCTTTAGATTCTTTGCCCAAGTTTTCTTCACTGCAACTTATTCAGTGAATAGCTTGATAACTATAAAGGCTTAATAATCCTATTTGGCCTTGCTTGATGCACAGTATGATTTTTCTCTGAACATCTACATATGTCAAATTTCTTTTTCTTTCCAAGCAACTCTTGCATACAAAGTTGTTTTCTAGCATCCACAGTAAAATAGTTATTACCTGCTAGTTCATTTAAGTGTTCAGATCCTATCTCATTTGGATGACAATTCCCTAAATATTGGAAGAAGTTTCCTGACAGTTGGCATGTGTCTTTGCATGTCTTTTTCATTCGTTGCTAGGTTAGGAAGACCTTTGATATTTTGCTTTTACTTTCCTAAATACTGGCTCTAATTCTGTTAACCACGATAGTCACATTGAATACATTTTGCAGATTCTCCTCGTGATTCTGTTCAGTTTATTGAATGGTCCCCTACTTCTTGCCCTCGTGCCTTACTAATTGCCAATTTCCATGGGAGAGTAACGATCTGGACTCAGCCTTCTCAAGTAAGTTACACTTGCTGGACTGATTTCTCTTATGTATATAACTTTTTCCCTTTGCAAGCTTTTGACGTGGCTTTTCCAGTAACAGCTAAATTGCAATAATCTTGGCCAATTTTCCCACATTTTTTTTACAAAACTATTATTAAATGTTTATATTTGATCTATCTGTTTAGGGGCCAGCTAATCTCGTGCGTGATGCCAGCCTGCTGGCAACAAGATCATGAATGGCGGCAGGATATTGCAGTTGTTACAAAGTGGCTGTCAGGAGTGTCCCCAGTAAGCAATTTTGTTGTCTGCTACTCATCTGGTTTTAGAAGATATTTTGCCCATCTGAATGTTTTTGGTTCTTTGAAATGTAACATTTTAGCTTGCTGATTGTTTATATGAATATCTAATTTTACGTCTACTGGTGTGTCTACGGTACTCTTTTTCAGATGGTGTTGACGGTTAATATTTTTTTAATCTTTTTGTTGATGAACCAGTATAGGTGGCTTTCCTCAAAATCTAGTACATCCTCCAATGCAAAGTCAACTTTTGAAGAAAAATTTCTTTCCCAGCAGTCTCAGAATTCAGGTTTTTTTTTTAATTTTTTTATTTTCGTTGCAACCTCTCTTATTTTCAAGTTTTCTTATATTTTCGTTTTTTCATTGTACAATGTGTGTACGGTTGGTATCTGATGCAATATTTGGTTATTTGTTGCAGCTAGGTGGCCCAGTTTTCTGTGCATCTGTTCTGTTTTCTCTTCAGGCTCTGTTCAGCTTCATTGGTCCCAGTATCCTCCTAATCAGACTAGTGCTGCACCAAAGTGGTTTCAAACAAGCAAGGGACTCTTGGGTGCTGGGCCTAGTGGGATCATGGCAGCTGATGCTATCATAACAGATAGTGGTGCCATGCATGTCGCAGGCGTTCCAATTGTAAACCCATCTACTGTTGTTGTTTGGGAGGTCACTCCTGGCATTGGAAATGGATTTCACGCAAGTCCAAAGATCAGCACAACTAATGGGGTCCCACCTTCAATAAATCCACCCAATTGGGCAGGTTTTTCCCCTTTGGCTGCATATCTGTTTAGCTGGCAGGATTATCTTATATCCGAAGCAAAGCAAGGGCAAAAGCAGACCGATCCAGATTTCAGTGATACTTTACCACTCCATTGCTCTCCAGTTTCTAATTTTTCAGCGTATGTGAGTCCTGAGGCTGCATCTCAGTCTGCAACTACTACCTACATGGGGATCTGGAGTTACAGCAGTTGCCTTTGATCCAACTCGTGGTGGTTCTGTCATTGCTGTTGTCATAGTTGAGGGTACTAACTGTCTTCTTCCTTGAAAGCCTTTTGTTTCCCTATCTTTTACATTTGGAATTCAAATGCATGCATTTATTTGTTAATCTTTTCTAATCCAGATGTACATTTTCCCAAAAAAATTCTCCTAAAGTTGGTTGTTAGAGTCTTAATTTCTCCTAAACTAAGTTTTCTTAGAAATACGTCTGAACTATAGTAGTTGCATTAATTAAATCATGATTCCTATATTTCATGTGTGCAGGACAATACATGTCTCCTTATGATCCAGATGAGGGTCCATCGATTACAGGATGGAGAGTGCAACGGTGGGAATCATCTCTTCAGCCCGTTGTCCTTCACCAAATATTTGGAAATCCTACTTCCAGTTTTGGTGGGCAGGCACCAATGCAAACTGTTTGGCTATCCAAAGTGGACACAAGCATACAACCAACTAATGATTTTAAAAGTTACCAAGCAGCCGCGATGGCAGCAACCATTGATGCAAGGAAGACTCCTGATTCTAGCATAGAGAAAGTAAAAAGAGTCAGTTTTGATCCTTTTGACCTGCCAAGTGATGTTAGAACACTTGCTCGAATAGTCTATTCTGCTCATGGTGGTGAGATTGCTGTTGCTTTTCTCCGGGGTGGGGTTCACATCTTCTCTGGTCCGAACTTTGCACCTGTTGATAATTACCAGATTAACGTCGGATCTGCAATTGCTACCCCAGCCTTCTCATCGACAAGCTGCTGCTCAGCTTCTGTTTGGCACTGATAGTGCTAAGGACCGTACAGTTTTAAAAATAATACGTGTTCTTCCTCCTGCTGTTCCAAGCAGCCAAGTGAAGGCAAACTCGTCAACCTGGGAACGTGCCATTGCGGAAAGGTACTTCCACCCTGATAAAACTTGAATCCCTGAATTTAGTTCTTATGGATGTTTAAGGTACGATAGAGTGATGGTCATCATGGCAGGTTTTGGTGGAGTCTTTTAGTTGGGGTTGATTGGTGGGATGCTGTTGGCTGTACACAGAGTGCTGCTGAGGATGGCATTGGTAATAAACCTTCGATTCCTATTGGTGGTATTCTTGTGTCACTGATAAATTGCAAAGTACTTGAGATTTAGGAAACAAATTATAGGTCTCCAATCCATTTTATTTGCATTTCATTGAAAATTTCTTTCGTAAATTATGTGCACAACCTTCTGACCGTGATTTTTTGTTTGTTTGTTGCAGTTTCTCTGAATAGTGTCATTGCGGTACTGGATGCAGATTTTCATTCTCTTCCTTCTACTCAGCACAGGCAACAGTATGGTCCTGTAAGTTTTTGCTCTGACGCAGGTTGTTTCATGCTTATAGATTTTTTCTTGTCCATGCTAACTTTTTCATGACAATTAGGACCATGTGTCATTTTAGTGAAATTAGTTGCTGCATTTTTTAATTTTATAATCTTGATGCACTAACATTTTATTACTCGTATGTCAGAGATATTTTGTCCATAATTATTCTAGTGGATGGCCCTAATTTTTTGATAAAAACTTTCAGATATGATGTAATATAATTTGTTTCGTGCAAGTAGTTATATATGCTGAGTTTTAAATGAGTTCAAGATCCCATAATCTTTTCTTATCTGAATGGCCTGGTATTGTTGACTCTCTTGCTGTTAAAGGCTATTGGCATTACATGCAAGAGGTGTTGACAATTCTACTTGCTTCTTATTTGCTCAAGCAAAGTATCACCTAGATGGCCTCCCTGTTTCCCATGCTGTAGATTGTAAAAGTATCTTGGCGTGTCTTTTAAGGAAAAAGTTGTTTTGGGATATTTTAAGACAGATTGCATCGGAAACTGACTAAATGGGAACATGGCTAGACTGTAATTTGAAGTTGAGGCTTTGCGCATGACTTTTGGCCTAAAGACTCGGGTTTTCAATCAACCTTTCATGCTGTTGCATGGCTACATCCTGCCTTTTTATTATCCTTTTCTATCCCTGTTTTTAGGTTCAGGACAGGGTTTAGTAGTTCACAGTCACACATCCATACCATTCCATCCTCAGTTTCACGTCTTTGTTGACTACCTTTTGTTGTTTGACTAAGAAAATTATTCTGTTTTGATGCAGAGTCTCGACAGGATAAAGTGCAGGCTACTGGAAGGTACAAATGCACAAGAAGTTAGGGCGATGGTTTTAGACATGCAAGCCAGGTTGTTGCTTGACATGCTGGGGAAAGGAATAGAATCAGCGTTAATAAATCCATCTGCTTTGGTACCAGAGCCATGGCAGGCATCTGGGGAAATGTTATCAGGCATTGATCCTGAAGCAATGGCTATTGAACCAGCACTAGTTCCACATATTCAGGTTTTCTGTTGACTGTTCTTAATCTTAAAACTTATTGTTTTCGTCTGTTGAAAGTTATACACTGAAAAATGGTCATGCTGTCGCTAAAAGTTTGACAAATAATTGGTTTATTGAAATGTATATTTTATTGTCAACAATGTGGAATCCAGTCATGTAGGTGCATGATTATGGTTTTGCCCTGGTCCTCATTTCTATGAAATAAATAGTAGAAAGACTAGTAATGCGTGAGCTAGTTTGGGCTTCCAAAACCCATGTATGGTTATGAAGATGGTTGAACCTTCCTCCAGTCAGTTCACAAGTCTCAGGATCGTTGTAAGATTTTCTTCAAATCTCGCTTACCTAATCTTTCCACGTAATACAGGCTTACGTCGATGCAGTTCTTGATTTAGCTTCACATTTCATCACTCGCTTGCGGCGCTATGCAAGTTTTTGTCGCACACTGGCAAGCCATGCTGTTACTGCTGGAGCTGGCAGCAACCGCAATATGGTGGCTAGTCCTACCCAAAGTTCGGCTTCTCCTGCAACCAGTCAAGGTCAGTGTGCATTCTTTTTCTCATTATGGAAACTGAAGATATTATTTCTATAGTTTGATTCAGGTGCAAAAGAAGTTTGAAATTTTTTTCATTGAAAATCGCGTAAATAATCTTTTACATCAGGATTGACCAGATATGGTTCCTTAAAAAAATCCCAAACCATTTGGAAATTAGACTCGCTTCGGAGGCATCTTAGGGCTTAAGTATCATGATTTTTCTTACTCAGGAGGTGTTTGCCGTTATTTATGTTAGGAGAAACAGGCAGCATTTGAATTTTATACTTGTTTATTTACTTCTTGTTTTGCATTATCTGCAATGCAACATTTCTTTGACAATGTCGTGCTATGTTTTTCAGGGGGTCAAAGTGGAACTACAAATTCTACAGGAAACACCCAGATGCAAGCTTGGGTTCAAGGTGCCATTGCAAAGATTAGTAGCACCTCTGATGGAGTTTCCAATTCGACTCCAAACCCCATTAGTGGGCCATCTTCCTTCATGCCAATAAGTATCAACACAGGAACCTTTCCTGGTACACCTGCCGTTAGGCTAATTGGGGATTGCCATTTCCTTCATAGGTTATGCCAGCTTTTGCTTTTCTGTTTTTTCTTTCGGCGAACTCAGCTACCCCGTTTCTCTGGGGGAGCACAGAGAAATGCTGATGCAAATATGCAAAAGCCACAACCTGGTGCTCCTGGGAAGGTGGAGGAGGTCAGTTCTGTTTCTGCAAAATCATCTACAACCATGGTCAGGCCGGAGGAGGGTCAGGTAGCTCGGCCCAGTCAGATACCTGGAGCAAAAGGAGTTGAAGAAGGACCTGCTGGAAGGTCAAGATTGGGTGCTGGAAATGCTGGTCAGGGTTACACTTTTGAGGAGGTAGAAACTGATGCTCTCTTCATCCAAGATCTCTACAAAAAATTACATGTTGCCTTAAGTTGTTTATATCTGGTTTATATTATTTGATTTGTGAACTGTGAATGGGATTTTCAATCTTTATGTCTCATTTTTGGACATTTGACACACCTATAGGGTATTCTGAATTAATTGGATAATTCCGTTCATCATAGAAAATTGATAAGCAAAAGCTAGAATGATGTAATGCACTCTGTTGCTGTGCTGCAGGTGAAAGTCCTTTTCCTCATCCTTATGGATCTTTGTCGGCGAACAGCCAGCCTGGCACATCCATTGCCAGTTTCTCAGGTGGGAAGCAGCAACATTCAGGTGCGGCTGCATTATATTGATGGTAATTATACAGTTCTTCCGGAGGTTGTTGAAGCATCCCTTGGCCCGCATATGCAGGTATAGTTGTATTCCTTACCACTCATGATCATGGAGTGGCATGGTTTCTGCTCTACTTATCAATAATGCTGCTAAACTCAATGCCTGCAACTTTAATCTGTAAAAGAGGATTAACTTTCTTGTTAACTGGTTGCTTAAAGTTCTCTAAAATCTTAACTTACTTAATTTTTTAGTGTCAATCACAATCTGAAATCTTATAGCAACAATCTTTTTTCTGATGGGCTATACAGAATATGCCCCGGCCTAGAGGTGCAGATGCCGCTGGTCTGTTACTCCGAGAGTTAGAACTCCACCCTCCAGCCGAAGAGTGGCATAGGCGCAACATGTATGGTGGGCCTTGGTCTGATCCACATGACATGGGCCCTCAAGATGATACCCCCAAGCTATGTAATTCTTCAGACCTACCTGATTCTGGATCTTTGGAAAGTTGTGATGTATATTATGGAGCCCATGGCCTGTGGCCAAGGAAGCGCAGGATGTCTGAAAGAGATGCAGCTTTTGGCCTAAATACTTCTGTGGGTCTAGGGGCATATCTTGGTATAATGGGTTCACGGAGAGATGTTGTTACTGCCGTATGGAAGACTGGTCTTGAAGGGGTTTGGTACAAGGTTTGATATGAAAAGTCAATGCTGTTTGTCTCCCCATCTTAACAGGTAGTGATCCTATGAATCTTATTTTGTACTTGTGTGCATGCAGTGCATAAGATGTTTGCGGCAGACGTCAGCTTTTGCTTCCCCAGATGCTGCTACTGCAGCGAATCAAACTGGGCGGGAGACTTGGTGGATCAGCCGCTGGGCTTATTGCTGTCCTATGTGTGGCGGAACATGGGTTCGAGTTGTATAGGTGACTGAACTGACTGTATTATTTATTAGGTGAGTTCCTAATCCTTTTACATATGGAACGAATTCCAAGGTGGACATGCATAAACCGTTGCTGATCGTTGACGACTGAGTCATATGGTGCAGATTGGACATATACAGTACAAGCGTTCGTTAAGGCAGTCAGTTTAGAAGATTACCTTGGTGAGTGGTTGTTGGTTAAAAGAAATCAGGGGCACCCTGCTCATTATTTTCGGATTCCTGTCTAATGATAAATTCTTACTTGCTACGGAAAACTCTCCTTCACATCTGCAACATGCTGCCGAGTTATGATTCTTTTAGGGTTTCCGTTTTGCAGGTTGTAAATCGTCTTCACCGGCCACCTCCGTGGATCCATTTGACCTGGAGTGAGAACATTACATTTGATACGCATATATAAACGTTAATAGCTGCCGCCGGAGAACGCCGTTGAGATGGTAGCCTCGGCAAATGTCTCTCGTGGATCCACTTGCTTTATCAGGTTGCTAGATTTGTAGTTTTAACACTGGAGTTGCACGAACTTTGCCGTTCTTCTGGGCGTGGGGTTGTGAAGGCAGGTGGTTGGTAGGGTTCCTGTATTCTATGTTGTAAACATTTTTGAAGCAAATCAATACAAACATATTCACTCCTTTCGTTTTCCTAATCCTAATTAGTATAGTCGATAGGAGAAATATTTTTGCTGACCACAATGGCAATGCTCATTGCCCTATTCACTACCGAGATTAGTTTACATTTTGACATTTGTACGGTGAATAGATACAAAATTTCAAAATTTAAACAAATCTAATAGTGACGAGCATTTCCACCGCTCGAGAGTGCTGAGCAAAAATGCATCTGTAATCATCTCTTTTGTATCTCCGTTTGTTAAGTAATTTTCAGTGTAGTGGTAGTTCTCTTTCTAGTTTTGGAACAATTTGAAGTTTAAATTCTGTGCATGTTATGCTCGCCTATCAAATAGCATTTAGCTCTTATTCTAATGATAGTTCTTTATCAATGTTGGGTTGAATTTCGGATTATGTTGTACGCATTTATCAACTAGCTTTTACATTAATAATAATTTTCTTCTAAACACATAAATTAATAACATTATGTAACGCTATGATTATTTCTCTATCATACTATTGACACTTCTAATTAACTTAAATCATTTATGACACGAATTTGGATATTTTCCTGAGCAGAGGATCTGAATCCTTTTGACGCAATAACTTATATCATTTTATAATAATTGTAACGTTGGATCAAAATTCAACTGTCCTGTATTATTTGGTTTTGAACCCTCTGTCCAAATCCTTATGACACCACGTGAGAACTGCTACTTAAACACCACCACGTGTCTCGTTAAAGTGCATTTTACCGCCGTCAAATTTATTTACCAGAGTTTCCCAAGTGGTTAAAAGTTAAAACGATGAGGAGTTGCTGTTAACACACCAACAAACGCAGTTGAAAAAGGAGTCTTGTCAAACTTCGTCACACTGGCTCTAATTTCGGAAGCGCGAAAGTTCGGTTGATCTCGACGGACGCCGGCGAATCGACGACGAGGAAGCAGCGATGAGCAGCGGTCAAGCTGGACCCCACTCCCTAGCCTTCCGGGTGATGAGGCTGTGCAAGCCCTCGTTCCAGGTGGACCCCATTCCCCTCCTTCTCGACCCCGCCGATCTCGTCGTCGGCGAGGACATCTTCGACGACCCGATCGCCGCCGCTCAACTCCCCCGCCTCCTCGACTCCTCCGCCGCCTCGAACTCCTCCTCCGACTCCTCCGATCTCACCTACCGCACCCGTTTCCTCCTCCACCACCCCTCCGACTCCATCGGCCTCTCGGGCCTCCTCGTCCTCCCCCAAGCCTTCGGGTCTCTCTCTCTTTCTCTCCCTCTCCTTACCCGCATTTTAATTCCTTGATTTGTTAATAAAGTTGTGATTTTGCAGAGCAATTTATTTAGGGGAGACATTTTGTAGCTATATTAGCATCAATAACAGCTCCAATTTCGAAGTCAGGGACATTATAATCAAGGTTTCAATCTCAAGTTCTTGAAATTTATTTTCCATTTATTCCGTAATTATTTCATGTTAAATTAATTCAGTTCAATTTTTAATCTTTTGTTAACTTTGAGAATTGCAGGCGGAAATGCAAACAGAAAGGCAGAGGCTTTTGCTGCTGGACACGTCGAAATCTCCGGTTGAATCCATACGTGCAGGCGGCCGTTATGATTTCATTGTTGAACATGATGTCAAGGAACTCGGCGCTCACACGTAAGCTCTCCTTCTCAGTCCTCGAAACTCATGTATTATGATTTTGTTGTTTGATTGTGGTAAGGTTTTGTAATCTCTATAGGTTGGTATGCACTGCATTGTACTATGACGGGGAGGGAGAGCGTAAATATCTACCGCAGTTCTTCAAGTTCATTGTGGCCAATCCGCTTTCTGTCAGGACTAAGGTATTGTCCTTGCACATGCCGTCGAATTTTCATGTGCAGTTCTGAATTTCAATTTACATACATGTGAAATAACTGCATTTCATAAATCCTAGTGAAACTAACAATTTGATTTTGATTTTTCAGGTCCGTGTTGTAAAGGTACGTTGAGGTTCATTTAATTATTGATTGTAAGTTTATAAGTTCTGCCTTTTCGATACATATACAAGTTACATTGCTTTTTAGCATTGCTATGGTGTTTAAATATATATTGATGATTTTCAGTAGAAACATGATCGTGTATGTATACGCCACACTGGATCAAACTTAGACATAGTGTCTCGTATGTGTTATACCGATGCCAAAGCATGTGCCTCTTTAAACAGCATTCAGTTATCTATTGTTTACTTCTATTCGTTGCAGCCTAAGTAACTGCTGTAATCTTGTTGATAACCTGTAACGAATTAGTGTCCCTATGATAAATGCATTCTATCACAGGAAATCACGCTTTTAGAAGCTTGCATCGAAAATCATACCAAGTCAAATCTTCTTATGGACCAAGTTGAGTTTGAGCCCGCATCAGCATTGGAGTGCAAAAATCCTAAAAGCTGACGAACATCATTCTGAAAAGAATTCTCAAACAAGGTACAATATGGTTTATTTTCTTCTGTTGAATTTTGTTCTTTTCTTCATATTCCTCTTTCTTTCTTTTCTTCATATTCCTCTTTCCCTTCTTTTCTTCATATTCTTCTGCTTTTGTTGATGGCAGAGAGATATTTAAGCCACCAATTCTTATCAAATCTGGCGGGGGAATTCATAACTATCTTTATCAGTTAATATCACATGGTTCTGCCCAAGTGAAGGTTGAGGGAAGCAATATTCTTGGTAAACTTCAGATAACATGGCGAACTAATCTGGGCGAACCTGGTCGCCTACAGACACAGCAAATTATGGGAACTGTGAGTGTTCATTTTTTAACACTAATATTAGAAGAAGAATACTGTCCACTACTTTTTGTTTCACTTTAGATCTGCAGGGTGTTTATTTTTCTGGCTTTTTGTCTGAAAATTCTGTCTAATTAGAAGTCCATGCAATAGTTTAAGGCACACATACACACACATGTACAAGCTTAGTACACGTCACATACACAGCTTGCAAGCCCAATTTAAAGTTTATGTGGTTATTAGCACTTATCCGGTAACTTCCATAGAGAGTATAGTTAATTTTTAAAATTCTTTAAATTCAAACTCATGAAAACTTCTACAGAAAATGGGAAGTTCAAAATATGGTTTGATTTTACTATTTAACTTTTAAAATATTGTTAGTTTAATTTCAACTAGGCAGGGCATTTATGGACTTTAGAATGCTGTACGAATAGTTTTTTGGATATATCATGAGATGTGTAAGTAGGACATGCTAGAGCTTAAGTGGTATTACACTTATGTTCTTGATATACACTTTTGCAGCCCATAACACGAAAGGATATTGAGTTGCATGTGGTGGAGGTGCCGTCTGCCATCAAGTTGGAAAGACCCTTTTCAGTAATTTTCGTTCCTTTTGGTTTCTTATATGTCTCTTGTTAATTAGATTACTGCAGCTTGATTGTCTATGTAAAGTCACCAACAGAGGTTTCTAATGGCTATTGGACTTCATACTTCACAGTTCACCCTCTATTTACCTCTTGTACTTGTCGTTCTTCAGTTAATAGAATTAGACACTGACTAATGCAATGATTTGGACCTAAGCAAGTAAAAATTTTGTGCAGCTACATTTGAAATTAGAAAATGAGACAGATAAGGAACTCGGCCCCTTTGAAGTTTGGTTATCACAAGATGATTCACCTGAGGAGAAGGTTGTTGTGATCAATGGTCTTCAAACAGTGGTAATGCTTTAAATCAGATTTCAAATATTGTTCTTGATGAGTATTCCCCAAGTTTATAACAATTTATGCTGTTCCAAAGTCTGTTTCAATATACGATTTTAGATGGTATCATAGGAATGTCCTATCCAAGCCTTTCTTTTAGGCCTTCGTTAGTGCCTTTTTTTATTTTCAATTGCTTATGTTGACCTCGATATTTTAACAGACCCTGTATACTCTCTGAACTTTTAGGTTGTCTCAGTTAGATTAGATAAGTTTACGTGATGAAAGATATATTAGGAACCATGAGTTGCATATTTGAACTCATACTTTTAAATTCCAAATATTTAGCATCTCACTTGTTATATAACTGATTGATGAATTTGAAATCCACACACAGGTTTTGCCAAGGGTTGAGGCGTTTGGTTCCACAAATATCAATCTGGTACGGAGAATAATTTCACCAGCACCTTATAGATTCAGTTTAAACATCTTTGGTAAATGATAATCACAATGGTGATGATGATTGATAGTGATAATTTCTTTATAGGGATGTCAGTGAATGTATTGTTGTCCTGAGAGTAGCTCTCTAAACCCCGCAACCTAAAAGTAACCAGTCATCTTTTAACAATATAACATTGAGATTATTACCTTTAAAACAATTTGCTTTTCATATTTCAACTGTTTGAGTAGTTTCTTAGAGTAGCCTTTTCCTAATGCAGAACCTCATTGCTACTAAGCTTGGAGTTCAGAAGATCACGGGCATTACCGTGTTTAACACAAGAGAGAAAAAGTCATATGACCCTTTGCCAGATTTGGAGGTTAGTTTTTCTGTTTTTTCAGTTTTGAATAAACATATTTAACAATTGCGAATTGTGGTAAAATAGTCATTGCCGTCTAAACTAGAACCCCTAATGCTTTTGCTATTATTCACTTCTGATCAAGCTCTGGACTTGTTGCAGATTTTTGTGGATCTCGACTAAATCGTTGGCTAGGTTTTACCGGTTTTGCTTCCCATCCTGTGCGGGGTTATCAAACATCGAGCGGATGCCATGATCTGTCTCCTCAATGAGCTTTAATCAAGCCAAACAGATCTGAATGGAAGGCATCAAGTTCTAGTCCGATTACTGGTGATGTTTACCTTCCTCCGGCCCTTGATGACTTGCTTCAGTAATCTCTTCCTTCCCTAAAGGGTTGTCCAAGTACTCGACGGTTTGATTACATTGGGGAACAATTGTATATTTGTAAGATTAGATGACTTGCGATGAACCGTAAGTAGTCTAAACGGAGTAGCTAATGAAACTACAGATTTCTGATACAATTGCTTGGAAACTATTGTTACATAAGATGAAGGGTAATTCGCACTTTACTACTTTTTCTCTCCCTCCATTTCTTTTCTAACACTTGTTTGGTCCTGAAATTCCTTGAATTATTATTTTGATCAATTTTCTCCCTGAACTATTATAAATGCGAAATGCGGTAAAACATGGCGTTGGGGGAGATTCGGTAGTTTCATTTTTTTGGTAAAATGTCACGGGAAGCGTACTCCAGAGAAACAACTACACATAGTTCTTCATTCATAGTATGTAGGTACTCATTAGAAAGGGAAAGGAAATTACAGGGAAATATGTACATGAATTGAGATTAAACCAAATAAATATGAAACTTGCAAATAATTATTATCAGCCGTTAACGTAAGTAAGTTTATCTCTTTGATTTAGGCTTGTTGGCCCCATACTGCCCAATTGGCTTCACTGCCGACACGTGGCATGTTCGGAATCCTCGAGTGAGCATCAACCTTGAAGGTGGCCCCACACATGACCCCCTCACTGTCAATCCGAGGCATTGCCTTCATCTTCTTGGTTGGATGCTCGAAGCTCATCAACCCTTGCTCACTGTGGAACATGCACCCTGCATCCAAAATTCCACCCACCAAAACATTAGAGGCTAGTAAAAGTAATAATTGTGTACACATCGAATTCTGTATTCGTACAAATTTCGAGTCGTGTCAGTGTAGCGTTTTACATACCAGTTGGAAATGGGGCAAAAGATTTAGCACAGCTTTGTTTTATGACCCCCAAGTTGTCAGAAATCACCACCGAACCATCTGCTGCAATGCCCCAAAACATGCTAACCCCTTCATTGGCACCCTGCATAAAAATAAACCACACCCAAAAATGCTAAGAACCCTGAAAATATATTTGATAAGGACACCCAGCTTTACGCTTTGTAAAAGGGCGATCCCAAGCCAACAAAGCTTTACGCTTTGCGAGGTCAGAAGAACATCTATTATACGCATCTTTACTCTTGTTTTGCAAAGAGCCTTTGCTTTCTAACATCTGATTAATTTTGGAACTTACCAATGCAGCAAAGACGGTTCCAGCCTTGGTGTCATAGAGCACAAATCCAAAGCTTCCATCAAGATCCTTGAGGACCTGATCAGCGGGGTACGGGCCACGGTCGCGGAGGGTCCGATAGGCCTGCACCACGAACATGGCCTCATTGGTGCCCTTCGACAGCCCGTACTGCTTGATCAGGCTGCAGAGGTTGTTCAGGTCCCCCAGAAAAATGCAGTATATGTTGTCCAACGAACAGAACACCCTGCAATGAATTAATCAATTAGTTAATTATAAATAATAGATGGATTGAGATTTGAGAACGCCCAAATGCCAGTTATATAGAAATTTTTTGTGCATGACGTGTGTTCTTATACTCGAGAATTTTCGGTTGAACCCTTCTGCACTCCTCTATTTTCGTCCTCCTAGTAAAAGCTGTATTGATTAATTTTGATATCGATATATTTTGTCACGGTGATATCATGACATGGACACATTAACGATGACATATCCACATATATTCGTTGCGTAACCGGACTATGGTAGTAAATATTAATAAATATAAAGAAAAGATATTGGGGTTATACCTTTTTGGGGATGTGTACGGGTTGGCTGGAGGAACATATGCAAGCAAAGCTGTGTTTCCAAAACAGACTGAAACTGCATTGTTCGTATCATGGCAGGACATGAAATCTTTGGCAATTTCTTGAGGCTTCTTGGCCCGATTGGCGGAGGCAGCGGCGGGGCTGTGGAGCTCCTGCGGTGGCTGCACCACTTCCTTGTTGAATATTGCAAGCATTTTCAAATTTCCAACAAAAACAAATCTCAAAAAAAGTTTTTGGATCAAATTTCTCGAACACAAAAGATGGTACTAAATAGTTTAACGCAGGCAAAGGGAACTGGTGGAGATTAATGCGTAATTGTTGGGGTATATATAGCTAAATACTAAATATTTCAGAGAGAGATAGTAGGAAAGTGTGCGTGGCGACGTTATCCAAAACTCTCTCTCCTCTATCACTTAAGGGAGATTCGATCCAACTTTTAATCTATTTTTATTTGGATAATACTTGACTCGCTACACCGTACAAATTATAGATTGACACTTGTACAAAATTAATCTTATACAATATTCTTTTATCATGTTTGTATATGTATCGGTTTGGACAAGTGATGAGAGAAAATCAGTTAAGATAGTTTGAACACGTGAATCAAAAACATATAGACGTTTTAATTAAAATATGCGACTATCAGATAGAGGCTCCGTGCAAAAGACGTAGAGAAAGACTTAGGAAAACTTTAAAAGAGACTATACAAAAATATTTGAAAGAGATTATAAAAAAATATAAAGTACTTGAAACTAACTAAAGACTTAAAGTCAAATCAAATGCAGTGACATTTTACAATTCATACAATCGACCTTGCGTATTAAGATAAGACTTAGCTTATACGTTACGGTTTGTAATTTTTTTTTGTTGTAAGAAAGGAGACGAGCAATATCCTTTTTATTTACTAAGGTGAGTAAGATAGTAATTTTTTGCCAAACCAAAATGAAGGGCGTGAATTGAGGATAACAACAATGTTATAATGGAAAAAAGTATATAATTTTATATCCATTAGATTATAACCTAGTTAAAAATTTATGTTAAATAAACGGCGCAATAGTTTCTTGTCATTTGTTTGACCTAACTTTAATTTATCCGTTGTATAAAACTAAGAGATTAAATTCGTGTGATATAAGTTATATAACGGCTTTTAAAATAATAGTAATGCTCGCCGCTAGTTTAGGATATTATTACGTAATTTGTTCTCCCGATCACCCAGAAGATTAGAAAATTAAGATAAAAACTGAGTAGGTGTATTGGAAACAGTCAAAAACGTGTTGAGTTGTACGAACACTCTTATCCAAAACTAAACAGTTATAAACAAAGTACAAGTGGAGGTTTAAACCGTGTGTTGTTAGTGACGGTGATCTGAGTCATCCACCGTCCAATCCGACCTTTTATCTGATTACTCTTTTTGACTGTCCCCCACGCTTCTGACGCACACACGTGGACCATAATCAACGGCCCAAAGACATATACCGGAATGGAGGAGACCGATGAAACGGAAGGGGATTCTCGAGGATCCCTTTTTCTTAATCTATCAAATTTAAGAATTCGTGTAATTAAAAATTAATTTAATGGTTAAAATTATTATAATTTTTAAAATAAACTCCTATTTGTAATCATTAGATTAAATTTCAATAACACGGATTTCTTGATTTGATGGATTAGAAAGAAAGGATCTGAAGAAAACCCCTTTCCCAATGAAACTCTGTTAAAAGTAGCATTATCATTCAATTAGGTACACTTGACAAACGGCTCGTCTTTATTGTATCCATGTTATTTTTGTAACATACTCGTTATCTTAACAAATCGTATCATATCAAACCTATTATCTTACGAATTTTTAAAAGATGACTCGATAATAATTCGATTGGTTAACAGATCATGTAGTTACGTATCGGATTAACATGACATGCAAGAAATTGCAGCGCCTAATGTCCAGACCTATCGAACAGGTTGTGTTTGTATCATGTTCGGGTCATTTGAGTGAGTTTATCGTGCCCTCAACAGATGACGAGCAAACTGTTAACGGGTCGACCCGATAAATAGAACACTAAATAAACAGAGCTGCTATGCAAATGAGAAGACCACTATTAATCTCTGAGAAGTATATTAAACGGTATGTACACTTCCATACTAATACAAACCAACCTAAATGGCCAAAAAACCAAGCCATCATCAAAACATCAAGAGAACGAAGGCCGGGAAAGGCAGTCGTCGATTATACTAGCACGCCATCGGTTCCCTGAGCAACCATTACCGACATCCGAAAGTTCGCTTTGGAACGTACAGCTATTTTACATTGCAACAAAAACGATAAAAACCTAGGCCGGGGGCTTAGTACTCTTATGCACTGTAGTCCCTGATATAGTATTTCTCTTCTGGATAGTAAACGGCATTGACTGTGTTACCTCCGAATTTTCTCCCACCGAGTACATTCTTCGCATTGGCGCAACCCCCAATATCCGTATATTCCAAGAACACCTAAAAGCGTCATATAATTATAATGAGAAACAAGCTACATATACAATACTCCGAGAAAAAAGAACGTCAATAAGAGCACGGTAAGTGGATGCAGCACAAGAGTTTTACCTTCCCAACACCTGGAATCTGTTCTCCGCCTTGATCCGCACGAGGAATAACAACATTCACAAGAGTTCCTAATCATTCAAGACACGAGAAATTTCCCAGTTCCAATCAAAACCATAGCAAAAGTCAAGCAGTGGGAACCTGTTAAAGTTCCGGGCACTCAAATTTAAATACCCTACAATCAACAATTCACTTGAAAAAACATCAAACATCTTCCAGACACACCAAAGGTTTTAAATAAAAAATATTCAGGCAAACAGGTTGGGAATAAACTACCAAATTTGCTGCATTCATCCCTCATGTCTTCTAATATTTCGACATACTCTTCATCGTCTCCCAGTTGATCAGCAGTAATCGCCTTTATCACGAGAAAATACAAGAACCAGCCAGTAGGAACAATCAAATATTAACCCATAATCCACAAGTCTAAATTTTTTAAAAGTAGGGTGCCAAAACTAAATATACAAACAAAAAGCATGAATTCTATATAACTTCATTTTCAACTGTGATACTACCTCAGTCAAGCACAGGACTTTAGTGGGTGTCTCACCACTCGCCATGGTTGCCATTCCAGCTCCTAGAAGATTCAAGTCAACAACCCGCATGGCCATTTTCTACAACGAAAGACATAAGTCAACAATGCATTTGAAAAACACATACAGGGAACCAATGATATGTATTCCTTACCTGCATGGCTAAATGCTGTTGTGCCTGTACCAAGATGTTTTCTTGCTCTGTTTTAGACTGCCCGTTGCTGTAAAATCGTTGCAAAATGGTTTCAAATTGTCTAACTTGGCTTGAATAAATAAAACATCAGGCTTTAGGCTTTCCCTTTAGTTTGAAAGAATACCAACCTGGCACTAGCACGCCGGACGGTTAAAGTTTTATCACCCATTTTTAAGCCGTTGAGAGCACCGCAGGCAACGTCTGTCACAGTTGGATCCTAAAGTTCTAGAACATTAGTTGACCAGATTTCTAGGAGTGACCTTTAAGAATCATAAAACAGTATATAGGTATCAAAGAGAAAGGAGACGGCCTAAAATCAATCACTGAGAAGAAAACAAACAATTGAAGAAGTAACAATCAAAATCAAAGCCGGGCTTCGAGTATGTACCTGATAAACACAGAATCCATATCCTTTAGAGTTTCCTGTATCATTATCCTTCACGAGGTCAAAACCACGGAGAGGTCTGCAGTGATCAATACGAAGTTAGAATATGCAACTATGGTTTTATCACAAATGAGGAATGTCAAGATTGCTGGAAATTTAAGCCCATACCCAAAGGATTGAAGCAATTCTCTAATCTGAGCTTCAGTGAAGTAGTAAGGTAACCCACCCACAAAGATACGGTCAGGTCCCTCAACTCCACCAACGGCACTGCCAAACAAATGCAAAATTAGTACAACAGAAGACTTTTACAACTCAAATCCAAAAACTTCAAAAGTAATTATAGAGAGTATGAAACTAAAGTAGTCTTCAAATTGAAAAACCGAAATTGACCTACCCTTGTGTGAGACGAATGGCAGCCAAGTTAAGGTGAGGACTTGGTTGGCTAGGACCAAGTGTTGCAGCTAAAGTAGGATTGTAGTCTGTTGGCCTTCTTACCCTCACAGCAACCCCCTGATAATCAAAAGGAGCATGTTAACAAAGAAATATTTCCTCCATATCCACAGAGCACACAGAAGAATGATTAAAACATTATCCAAAGATTCTGACCTAAGCCCCATCATAACCAACAAATACAAATCCCAATATGTTTTTTTTTTTTTTGGCATATTTATGATAATTCTCTATAAAATTGATTGGGTTCCTTACCCAAGAGAGTTAACCTACTTAATGAGTTTGATAATACTGAAATTAGAAAAGCTTTGATCCGATAGACATGATAACATTTCAGTTCTACACTAGTTATGCTTCTTATTTTACCCTCACATTCTTCTTTTACGGGACTTTACCATTGACACCTTCCCCTATGACGATTATAAACAGATCAAACAAAAAACAAAACTGTAATGATAACTTGTAATTGACATGCCTCAAATATAATCCCGTCTAATGCCATTGCATTACTTGCTTCTTCAACCGTTCTCATCTCCACAAATGCAAACTTCTTCTCATGATTAATATAGACATTTACAACCGCATCACCTGCAAGTTCAGATACTAGAAAACACATTGCTCTCAGATAAAACCCATGAGATCCTGAATCATGTAATACATCAAGGCACATGTTGAACCTAGTTAAAGTGAGACTATTATTACACATACTTGAACCAACAGAATTTCTTCCAATGGCAGCCATGACTTGGCTAAAGAATGTGGCAATTGTCTGACAAAAAGATAACATTCCATCAAAGTCTTTTAAAGAATACAAGAAAGAGGCAAACAAGAATTTCAAAAATTGAAAACAGGTTAATCAAAATTTTGGCTTACTTGTAACCCATTGCAGTTGGCCCTGTAACAACCTACAGAAAGCTACCTTATAAGCTTCCTTATATACAAAGTAAATCCCTAGATTCTAGAGTGATGACACAAATGGCATCGAACTTTAGCCTAGATTCCCTGTTCATCTCCACTCCAGTATACAGTCAAAACACTTGCTATTACTTGGGAAAGAATCCAAAACAAAATCCAGAACTGTAACCTGCTCATTAGCCAAGGGAGGAAGCCCACCAACGTATACCCAACGTGCATGCCTTGTAGCCTGCAAGAGAGAAATATATATATACTGCTCATCGGCCAATGACAAAGACACCGTTCATGTATTTATGAGAAAAATAAATTGCAAATTTATATATATGAACATAAATACAATAAATTTACCTGCTGAGTCATGGCTTGAGCTGGCATCAATGGAAGAGCCATCTGTAACAAGCAAAAGCATATGAGTTATTCACAAAGAACACAAAAGAAAAATAGAACTCAAGATCCCATAGAAGCTTATACTGGTGAAACGTACATGCAATGCCCCAAAAGGAAATGAATTTTGTACCACTCCAGGCATTGTTTGTGGAATACCTGACAGTTGTCCTGCTGCATTATTATTGAAGCAATAACAGAAAGATAAGTAGTATAGCTTTACGGAAAAAATATGTCACAACTACACTAGTAATGAAATCCATCTGAAAGCTCAGAAGTATCTTTTACATTGAAAAAGCTAATATTTCATACCTAAGATATACCATGAAATAATAAAGAAACAAATTCCATCATTGCGAATGGTAGGGAAATATCTGTAGGTCAACCAAATGTCAACTGTATCAGTCGAAGGAGAAGAATGTCCAGCTAATCGTTCCATTGGTTCTCCCTTGAACATCAATTGATGTAGTCATGCCAACTCAACATCGCCTTCTTACCCAAACCATAAAAGCAAACACATACAAACAACAACACAACAACAACCAAACAACACAACAATGGCTCTCAGTTTCCAGAGTAAAACAATAAGAAAGATAACTTCTAGCATGCTCATATAAATAACAGGAGGTCAGGAAGCTATTCTTGAATGGAAAGTGTTACAAATGCTTTGACAAGAATTTGGTGATCGAGTAGTCAGATCCAAACCTGAAACGGAAGCATTATACAGCACTGACCCAGCAGGCGGTGCCATGTCAAAACCACTTGTACGCTTGCTATAGACAAGGATTTCAGCAAGATTACAATGGAGCAATGCGGCTTTCATGACAAAATACTAACAGCATCCATATTATGTTTTAACCAGCTAAAGCTTTTGAAATAGGAAATAATGTTTGAACAACATTACTCAACACGAAATGCATAACCTAAAGGAGCAAGAAAGATATATTTCTCATCAACTAAAAAGACAATCAGATGTGTCATGATCAAGATAACAATATGAAAGTGAATGTTTATGTAAAAGTTTCCCGAACCTCTTTGAACAGGAACGAGAAGGAGATCTGTCCATTGAGCGAGAACGAGAACGTGACCGTGATCTATGTCTATGCATCCTTTCTCTATCTTGATCATAATGACGATGCCTACAAGATAAACATACAACGTAAGCAAACCTAAAGTCGAAAAACAATTTCACTTGATAACTCCACAATGCAATTGAGATTATGCGAACAACTTGGATAAGTTTATTTCATTAAGAAGCACGTGTTTAACCTGTCGAAATCTTGGTTTCTACCGCAGAGATGGCCATCATACGAGTTCCTCCCTCTGTCAAATCTTCCACTTTTATCCTTATACTCCGGTGTATAACGGTCACCATCTTTTGCTCTATCTTGACCTCGGTCTCGCTGTCGATCTCTCCACGAGCTCTCACGTTCTGATCCACGAGAACTGTGCTGAGGCAGAGGCAATTAAAACATCACTCAGCAATTCGATAATCGTCACACAAACATACACGACAGAAAATAGCGATCCGAAACTACGTATGCATCACTCTTTACAACTACTTCGCATTCAAATCAAGTAATTCATTTCAAATTCATCGTTTCCTCTAAGGAAAAGGGATTCATACTCAAATATACCAAATTACTGCCTAATTCATGCACTAAGTGATTTAACAAACAGAAACAATAACATTTTACTCTGGAAAACCATAAATAAATTATTTACCCAAATCTAATCCGATTCGACAAATTAACATATCGAAAATGAACAAATTGACAAATTAAACGAGAAAGCATAGTTTCAGAAATTGGCTTAACAAATTAACAGAAGGGAATTTAGAAAAGAACCTTGCTGACGCCTTCGTAATCTGACATCGTAGCAGTCCGAATTTCAAACGAGAAGAACCCTAATTTTGGAAATTCGCTGAAACCAGAAGCTCGCGATTTGCACGCTCTTTCGATCTGGCGATGCGAGTACCATTGGACGCTATCGCTATTGGGCCTGATTGGACGGCGCCGACTCGGTAATTTTAATCCAGGCCCACATATAAAGAACAGCGTTTCTTCAGATTAACCCGCTATATTAAACGGGCCTAACTCAGCCAGTGAACTCCCACCAGCTGCCACATTAACAAAAAAGCCCATTCGATGAATGCTTGTTATGCTTTCTTCTTTTATTGTACTGGATTTAGTTGTGTCCGAGATTTTCGTTATAAATTTAATTTTTTAAGCAAAAATAATCACCATTGCCCTTGTTCAACGAGTAAAAGAGTAATAGTACATTGTCATTCAGCTGCCCTTGCCCCTTTAACGAGTGGAATTGCTTTGACTAGCATATAAAATAAGGAATCATATTTAAACAATCTCCTTATTATTCACTTTTAACGTTTAGGATATTTTTTACCTTGAAAAATCACACTTGGTACTATTCAGTTACACCTTTGTTTTGTCATTTGCATAAGACGGTCTCATTTTTCAAACAATACATGTTTACACCTATCTAATGCAAGTGTTAATTTATGCTGAAAATTAATAAAATAGGATCGTCTGCATGTTTTCACTTGGCCACGAAGGAGATTTGTATTTTGCAGTAGAGGCTGATTAGCATAATAAAGCCTACATTGAACATGTAAATGAGGAGGATAGGAGAACTGTTTTTCACACCATATTTGCTTGTAACAATTGACAAATATTCAAACTCCACACACACACACACACACACACCTGTTTTTCCACCTTTAAATGTTAATACTAAAATGGTAAAATACCAAAAACGTTTTTTGTAAATTTGCACCAATAAAATGACATGTTAATCCTAATGCTAAGTGTTAATTTGCACCATCTACTGATAAGCTTATGGTTATCAAATCCAAGAACATGGTTTGTTATGGAGAAGATGGGGATGATTTTGTTAATCTATTATTTAGTTTACTAAAGAAATGCAAGATAGCTCTTCCTCTTCGAAAGACTGCATTGATAAGTGATATTGTCGAATAGAATAGGAGTGGAAAAGAATGACATACTAGTGTAGTTGAGTCCAATACTAAATGTATAGACTTTAACAAACAACCATATAAAAGATGACATTTAATTTGATGTGCGGTTTCGATTTCGATGCGGTTTTCAAAAACCAAAATCGAAACCAAACAGTTTCCTACTTTGCGGTTTGGTTTCAAAACTGCAACCATTTCAAAACTACAAAACCAAATCATTCAGTATAGTTCGATTTGATTCGTGTTTCGGTTTTCGATTTCAAGTGTCCACCCTTAAGATCTATTCCCCTTAACTAGGTTCAGGATACCGTACAAACCACGTACGTGAGCGCTGACGCACCAACGCATGAAACATTTCAGGATTGACTGTGATTAAATTAAAGCCTGAAAAATGGCCTCCGAAAGTCATGGTCAGCTAACTTGATGTGACTCTGACAATACTTTTGATGCTTTAACCTCTACTTTTTGGAAAGTTGGACCCTCCCCAATAATCTGCTACTATATCGATATTTTTTTTGTTTTTTCTTGGAGTTGGACCGATAACTACTTTATTTTATGAGGAAATCGACGTACAATTATCTAATAGAAAATTTTAAATTAAATCTGGAAAATTCTCAAACCAATGAAAGTAGATGAAAAATCTAAAATCAACTGGATCATTCTATGAGCTATGTGTATATTCACGACCACGTGATTCATGTCCCCATGTTGATAAAAACAAAACATAAAAAATCTTGCCACGTAATTGGAAAGATCCTTGGAAATTTCACTCCTTTTTCTGGGGTTGTTTCTTTTTCGGTGGTTGAGGGAAAACGATTTAGATATTGGGAGGTTATGTACACAAAGCTTTTTAAATACAAGTGATATTTTATTGTAAATTAACATTGTAAAAGTAAAAATTTAAATTCATACTGTAACGTGATACATTCTTTTTAAAAAAAAATTTTGTCAAAAACAAAGCAAGCAATTTCATTGAAAGGGAAAGGCCCAGTACAAGTACATCAAATTAGCCGAATAAGGCGGGGATATCAAAAGCCCAATCAACAAAAAATGCAGAAAATAAAAAAAACCTAATCCTCATCCCGCATAGCTCGACATCACCGCTGCCATCACCTCGCCAGCAACCACATAAGTAGTCGCCCGAAGAAAATTAAATTCGTCTTGAATTTGACGAAGGTGTTGTAGCGCAAAACAAATCAACATGCAATAAGGAAAAAGCCCCAACCAAAACCGCTAAACTGGAAAAGAGCCAATAGATTTGAACACTCTTTAATTAGTGTAGTTATGGGCTTATTTGAAATTGTTGTTAAAATAATTGAAAACGTTTTTAAAAAATATGTTTTTGGGTTCTAAAAAGTACGTAGCTGGTGTTTCTTTCAACATATTTAACCATTTTAAGAACACTTCTAAACGCGTTACATTTGTCGAAAATAAATAGTCAAGGAATGGGGAGGGGGATATTTTGATTAAGAAAATGTTTTATTTGCAATTTTTTTGTTATCAACTTGTAAATTACATATTTTGGTACTAACGTACATGAATGCCGGCCTTGAATTTACCATGAATTTGTAGGGTTGTTTGTGATTTTCTTTGGCGCATAATGAACGCGTACTCGTATTGACTTAAGACTTGATGAAAGATTTATACAATTGTTTATCTTTTTTTCATTTATTCTTAAATTTTGGTAACAGTTTAGGAGCTTCACATAGTATTTAAACTATTACTGTAATAATATCAATACTCACGTCTAATTTGTACTCTCGCCAAATTATAACGTACGATCAAAGTAAATTTTTTTATGGTTTTTTTTATTAACATCCCACATGTTGTTAAATACACTCTACATAAAAACTTTAATACTAAACAACTTATAATTCTAATATGAAATGATTGTTCAAGCCCTTATAGCACTCTTACTCTCTATTGTAGAACAAAACCCTAAAAACACAAATACGTTGATGAAAATTACTTTTGATGAACGGAACATAAAATCAAGTTTTGCTCCTCGTTCATTCGTTGGTTTTCACATTTAAGAAATATTTAAACAATGGAATATAAAATTGACATTTTGCAAAGCCCTGCTCTAATTGAAATCCAAGAAATAGGAAGAAAAGTGGAGAATGTTGTAAAATTTTAGGATGTAACTAAATGTAATATTCTTGTCGTTGTTTGATGATGAGGAAATTCAATATTTCTTGGCTGGTGGGAATTGGAGCAGTGCCATTAGACATATAACCTTTCAAAGGAATTTGGAATTGGGTTATAATCTTTCATAAAATAATGTATGGCGGTTGGCAGTTTTTAAACAAACAAATGTGTTCCTTTTTAGAATCTGAAAACACAAACGGGAAAAGCCATTTACACAAATAGATATGACCTTATAAGAACAGTTCCTATCATTTGTCCATCAGGGTTTTTAGAATCTAACATGATTGTTTAAGAAAATTTGAAAGAGTACTTGGATATCTTTAAAATGTGGATTATTCTTATGTTTGAAAAACATGAAGAGTTTGATGTGTGGTTAGTTGATGATTGTGGGGTGTATAAGATGTGAGGTGTGAAGAGCATCGGAAAATAAGTGGAGTGTATTAAGATAAATTTTAATCTAAAAAGTAAACATGAGATGTATTAAATATGTAGGATGTAGTCAATAAAATGTGGAATGTTAGTAAAACAACCCTTTCTTATTGATGTCTCTCTCATCACGTCATATTTCATATTAATTGCACCTACACCAAGATATTCGGCTGAAAAATATTTAGAACGTGGATCATGCAAAGATTCTATATATGTGGTTAAGGCATGTAGAATTTGTAGCCCTAAACTTTGGATTGGCCTGCCACATCAATAGAGCATATGATTGCTTAGATATTTTTTTTTTCTTTAAAAGTGGTAATTTTATCACGTTAGTCCATATTTTCAGGGATTAAAAAGGCTCACATAAGTATTTTAATATCTCCCTAACCATTCAACAGTGCAAGGAATTGAACCTCGAACATGATGTATGGAATACAAGCCTTAAATTCATCTTCAACAACTGAATCGCCTCGTGATGGTTTGTTTGCTTAGTTCTTCAGTGACATTATCAATGTTAGGATTCTCTGATATTGTATCACACTGATCAACAATACTACACTCCAGCGTGCGATAAAATCTAAAAATGAAGATGAAGGGTATAGTTAGGGTGTTGCGGCTGAAGTTGTCGATTCAGGACCGTCTAATGAAGATGAAAATCGTTAAGAACTGCTTCGCCAGGAGTGAGATGGTGGAGGTCCTCATTAGGGATTTGGGAATTTATCCAAATTAGGGATTTGGGTCAACTGGGTTTTGTTAGGTTGGGTGTGCAGGAAGGGTGAGTACGGGTTGCAGAGGAGAGAATGGAGGGTGGTGGTGCAGGTGCAGAAGAGAGAAGGGAGGGAAGGATTGGGGTTGCATAAGAGGGAAGGGAGCGAGAGGGTGCATGGAAGAAGATGGGTACGGACGTTTTATTTTTTATTTTTTTATTTTATTTATTTTTATTTTTGTATTTTTTTAATTTTTTTTATAATTTTTTAATATTGAAGTGGGTCCATATTGACACCTGACGCCCAATAATTGTCCAAGTGGGCGCCACGTTATCAATTAACAAAAGTTCTAACATAAAACTTAACAGATGTATGAGAATGTCTCAAAATTAACACTTTAGGTATGACTCTGAGACGAAAAAAACTTTATGTACTAAATGTTGAAAACCACGAAACTTAAGGATAGTAAATAGAGATTAACCCAAAATATTAATAAACAATATTTAATTATTTATAATATTACATTTGTCAAATATTTTTCACACGTTTACTTAATAATATTCTTATTGTTGCAGTCCTATTAGATTAAGAATGTGAATGTGTAAATTTTAGTGGAGAATGTTGTAAAATTTTAGGATGTAATTAAATGTAATATTCTTGTCGTTGTTTGATGATGAGGAAATTTAATGTTTCTTGGCTGGTAGGAACTGGAGCAGTGCCATTAGACATATAACCTTTCAAAGGAATTTGGAATTGGGTTATAATCTATCATAAAATAATGTATGGCGGTTGGCAGTTTTTAAACAAACAAATGTGTTCCTTTTTTAAATCTGATAACACAAACGAGAAAATCCATTTACACAAATACACATGACCTTATAAGAACAGTTCCTACTATTTGTCCATCAGGTTTTTTAGAATCTAACATGATTGTTTAAGAAAATTTGAAAGAGTACTTGGATATCTTTAAAATGTGGATTATTCTTTTGTTTGAAAAAGATGAAGAGTTTGATGTGTGGTTAGTTGATGATTGTGGGGTGTATGAGATGTGAGGTGTGAAGGTAGTATTGGAAAATAAGTGGGGTGTGTTAAGATAAATTTTAATCTAAAAAATAAATATAAGATATATTAAGTCTGTAGGGCGTAGTCAATAAAATGTAAAGGGTTAGTAAAACGGCCCTTTCTTATTGCTGTCTCTCTCGTCACATCATATTTCATATTAATTGCACCTACACGAAGATCGGCTGAAAAATATTTAGAACGTGGACCATGCAAAGAGTATACATGTGGTTAAGGTATGTAGAATTTGTAGCCATAAACTTTGGATTGGCTTGCCACATCAATAGAGCACATGCTTGTTTATATATATTTTTTTTCTTTAAAAGAGGTGATTTTATCACGTTAGTCCATATTTTTAGGGATTAAAAAGATTCACATAGGTATTTTAACTTCTTCTTAACCATTCAACGGTGCGAGGAATCGAACCTCGAACATGATATGTGGAATACAAGTCTTGAATTCATCTTCAACCATTGAATCGCCTCGTGATGGTTTGCTTGTTTAGTTCTTCAGTGACATTATTAATGTTACGATTCTCTGATATTGTATCACACTGATCAACAATACTACACTCTAGCGTGACGATAAAATCTAAAAATGTGATAAAATATTAATAAACGATATTTAATTATTTATAATATTACATTTGTCAAATAGTTTTCACACGTTTACTTAATAATATTCTTATTATTTTTGTATTCTTGATTGTCGCATATTTGATATTCAACTTGGTATTAGAACAGGTTTGATCATTTGAAATTTAATCTGCCCTTATTTCATATCAGTTTGTTTCTCTGCCTTGTTCGTTGTTTAAATTGTCGTCAGTTTAATTTGAAAAAGAAAAAATATGTCATCGCGCTAAGCCACCAGAGCCGCGCCGCATTGGAGCCAAGCCGGAACCTAAAGCCTGTAATCGAAGCCGCCGCACACACGAGATCCTACCCAAAAACCCCTCAACTTGCACTTGCTGCATCCGCTTCAGTTTGAACCACCGCTACACAAGAATCTCATCGCCATCGCACGATGTTGTCATCTTGCTGCCTGCAACCAAAAGTCACGCCAATCGAACTGTTTGCAACTGCTGTTGGTAATTCTTGTCCTTGCTGTTTTTGTCATTGATCTGACGATTGTAATAGAGTTCCAATGCAGTCTTGAGGATTGTTGCACCTAGTGACGAATCCAGGATTTCAAGATTGGGGGATTCGAAGATAAAAGTTTTTTTTTTATTTTTATTTTTTATTTTTAAAATTAGACTAGTTTGGTTCCATATCACTATTTTTTATTGAATTTGGTTCATTGAATAATCAAAATTAATCAACCACATCAAGTGGCCCAGTGGTAAGGATGCGGATTTTGGCTCTCAAAATACAAAAAACAGGGAGGTCTCAAGTTCGAGGCTCCCAGCTGGTGAGTCTGCTTAACTATGGCCAGGAGAAAGCTGAAATGTCTTTGTGAGTCTTCCAGGCCCCTAGAAGGGGTGGATAACTGTGGCTTGTCACTAGTTGTCCCGCTTTTAAAAAAAAATAATGAATCTACAAAGATGAAATTTGTTAATGTAAATGGTGCTAGCGGATGGGGTAACTTGATAAAGGAAGAGAAAAAGTTGGTTGTTTTGAGGCCCACATGGGAATGGGATGTTTGGCCATTTTTGCTTTAAAGTAGGAGGCCCACTAGTTGTTAGCCTGTTTAGGATTGTTCTGTAACCACTCAAGTGCTTAAATATGTGACCACTCGAGTGATAGTACTTTGTTTTTGTTCATTCATTGCTATAATTGAGATGTGGAAATCTTATCTGTTCAGTGACGAGTCACGGGTTCTTCCATACTTTCAATACTAGCCAATCAGAATCAAAATCAGTTTGCTAGCCAGAATCAGCCTGCCAGCAAGAATTAGTTTGCCAATCAAGTCAAGTTAAGTTTGCTAGTTCGCCAGTCAAGTCAATAATGAATCTACAAAGATGAAATTTGTTAATGTAAATGGTGCTAGCGGATGGGGTAACTTGATAAAGGAAGAGAAAAAGTTGGTGGTTTTGAGGCCCACATGGGAATGGGATGTTTGGCCATTTTTGCTTTAAAGTAGGAGGCCCACTAGTTGTCGGCCTGTTTAGGATTGTTCTGTAACCACTCAAGTGCTTAAATATGTGACCACTCGAGTGATAGTACTTTGTTTTTGTTCATTCATTGCTACAATTGAGATATGGAAATCTTATCTGTTCAGTGACGAGTCACAAATTCTTCCATACTCTCAATACTAGCCAATCAGAATCAGAATCAGTTTGCTAGCCAGAATCAGCCTGCCAGCAAGAATTAGTTTGCCAATCAAGTCAAGTTAAGTTTGCTAGTTCGTCAGTCAAGTCAAGTTCGCCTGCCTGCCTGTCTACCTATCGAAGCCAGTCCGCATCTACTTGTTTGCAAACCCATGTTGTATATTGCTATGAGTTTGACAGGGGATGTTGGAAAATATTAGTATTTACTTTAATGTTCGATTTTTGGGCTTAGCCCGTTAATATTAGGATTTTGGTTTCTTACCTATTAGGGTTAGGTGTTTATTATAAATAGCATGTTTGCTATTCAATTGAGAGTAAGTTAGTCACGATATAGTCTCTCGAAATTTTGTAGTCATTTTGACATTCTTGTTTATTGAATAATATTCTTATTATTTTGTAATCTTAATTGTCTCGCACTCTGATATTCAACTCTTCCCTTACCTCTTTTTGATAGAGGAACTATTTATCTTCTCTTAGATAGCGGTTCGTATCTATATGTTAAATCAATCGGCCCGCGGATCTATAATTCTAAACGATGATATGAGGCGTAGCAATAGGCACAGTGAACATTAGCTTGGCTCCAGAAATTACATGGGTCATTGTCAAGGCAATTCATACATCTAGTGGGTTGCCACATCAAATGGTTTATTAGAGGAATGCTAAGGGTGCCACTTCAAATGGTAGAGCAATGTGGTTCAAAAAAAGTAGCCTCCCTAATATTTTTCATTTTATTTATACGGTACAAAATTGTGGTCTCACTACTCTCTAGCATTACTCTATTTTTTTTTTTTTTTTTTTGGAAACTTAGCATTACTCTATTTTAAATGGCATGCTTGAGTATGTAAGTCTTATTAGAGCTGCACACTTGTTTTGCATGTGCTTAAAGTCTTGGGATAAGAGAGTTAGGGTTAGCTATACTTGTAAGCTATTAAGGAATGTACGTAGGCATATAATGTAGCTAGAGGAGTCCTAATGTGAATAGTTTGTCTACTGTGATATGGATACTGTAGTTTTACAGTAGTAAGGATCAGTTTGATAAGGATTACATAATGGGAAGTATCCTGCTGAACACCACCATCTCCAGTATAAAGCAGGGTCCCTGCTCTCATATTCTTTGCGCAGTACAGGAAGTCTCAAGCCCTATCGATTGAGTAGTGCATACAGTGAGCGTTGTATCGTGATTTGGTTTCAGCATCACAAACTCTAACATTTGGTATTAGAGCTTTCACATAACTTTTAACCTAATGTCGAAAGCATCAAGAACAATTTCCTTTGTATGCAGATTACGGACTGACTTCAGATCATCAGGGAAATCATGTATGGACATGTATTAACTTTTCTTGTTCATGCATGTATTTTTTTACAACGATCTGAACATCAGTACTTGCACTAAAATTTAAAACATGAATACTAATCATCTGAAGAAGGTTTGTTATTCATGTTTCGAATTTTAAGTGGCATAATAACTCAACCATGTTTTCTAACCACAAAGGTGTGCTACATGGTTATAGAAAATTCAAACATGGTTATGACGGTATTAAAATCAAGAGAAATTATTCACTCTTCTTCGACCTAAAGATGGTGAATCTATAACATATGGTTTTGGGGACTAAAGATTAATTCTTTACATATTATGTGTTCAGTTGTGAACCCTAGCTCCATGAATCTCAACACGGCCAACCTCTCACTGGATCAACTACAAGAAATGAAGCAGGATCTGAAAATAGTGTTGTGCGTCATGGATATAGACTTGGCGCAGAGAGTTGATGAACCACCAGTGCCTGCCTGCTGACGGAAGTACCACGTACAAGTCAGAGATCGAAGTATGAGAAATGGCAAAAGTTAAAAAGGATCTCTCTGATGACCATCAAGAGGACCATGACTGATGTTGTGCGTCGAGGTTTTCCTGATGCAATGAAGTCAATCAAGGAAGATTACAAGGAGTCGGAGAAGACTGAAACTAGTACCTTGATGAACTCCTTGACAACCATGAGATATGATGGTGTTCAGAGTGTCCGTGTCCGTGGATATGCTCTCAAAATGATTGATATTACTGGAAAGCTTAAAGCATTAGAGGTGCCCTCTTGTCCGATAGCTACACTCAACTCGAAGTTATTTTCTTATAATGCACTGCGTGAAAAATGAGATGTCAATGAATTGATTGCTACCTGTGTGAGTGAGGAAGTGGGGATGAAAAAGAGAAAGTTGAGTCTGTTAACTTTATTCAGAGTTGCATTAACAATTCCAAACCCTCGAACGCAGATGTCGCCAAAAAGGATTCTGCCAATAATTACTTCTCCTTCTCAACAGACTTTCAAACCTAATAAACCATCAGTTTTTAATTTTTTTTTTTTTAAAGAAAGCTGCCAAAACATTATATGCCGTTTTGGTATTCTCCATGCCATACTTACAGATAACAGGCTACAATTCACTAGTTCCGAAGTTGCAGACTGGTAACTTACCTCCACTCCCTGTTACCCGCAAGGCCATGGACAGGCAGAAGCTTCAAAAAATTGATCTCCCAATATAGTATTGATGAGCATCCACACCCATGAAGAATTAACCTTCCAATTTTGAACGTCAACAACCATATCAATAGAAGGAGCAAGCTAAATCCCAAAAATAAGCACATAAAGTGCAATTGTCATGTGAAATAGCAGTCCAAAAGCATATTATTACAGCCACCAAACATAATTCACACGCAGGGATGGGAATAATTTTTTGTGACCACTATAACGTCATGTTAGCAATACACTGCAATTGAAATACACTTATAACATTGTATTTATTATATAGGTTCTGACACGTCCCGACCTCGATATCCTTAGATACCAGGATAGGCACGTATTGGCTGACATCTGAGGGTGACGAAGCCATTTTAACATGCATGCAAGTGGTATCAGTAAACAAAAGTAAATAAAATATGTAAATAAAAAGAAATACACAAATGTGGAAACATGTTCAGAGTATACAACTAATCAAGAATAATGTGGAAGAATTATTATAAGAAGGTACGAACCAAGGAATAGGTACTACACTGAGAAGACTCGAAGATAACTATGTGGAAGTACCCTGACGCTGGGATCGTACACCTCGATTCTAAATCCTAAAGGAGGCGCAAAAACGAAAGGTGAGTGGACCATAGTTTATAATAATAATAATAATAATAATAAGAAAACCATTTTCTTTCTTAACATACTAACCTCCTGTTTTGAAAACTCATATAATACCACATAGTAGGTTTTTCTGAAAACTCTAACATGCCAAAAAGAATTCTTCGTAGCAATAAAACCATCTCTTCAAAGTCTTATCGAAACGCCCAAAGGCAACTATAAAGAATCTCATAAAACAACTCAGCGATATACTCAACTAGGGATATCATAATCGCCCAAAAACATATCCATCACCTGAAGGTGAAGCTGTACGACACTGGGTTACGCCAGTGAAGAAATATCGTAGGTCCCATCACTCAAAGGTGAAGCTGTCCGACTCTGGGTTATGCTAAAGAAGAAATATATCTACATAACACATCGTACTAGCTATGGCTAATGAAGCTGTTCGACACTGGTTTCGCCAGTGAAGCTGGGAGTATGTCATAAATATCCTCAGCTGTGTCATATGGCCATAGACGTATACATACTCAGGTTGTGTGTATGTGATGTATGATTACCCACTAGATAAGCATAGAGAACGTATCTCAAAAACTCATATCAAATCACTGGAGCTCAAAAGCTCAAAGCCTCATCCCATAAATCCATAATAAATCATATTCACAAATTCGTAGTATTTCATAAACGAAAATCCAATAACTCTAGACGTTTCGTAAAACGTAAATTCGATAAATCATAAATAATGCATAAAACATGAAATCATGCTTTTTGTGAATGCAAGCCTAGCATTTAATAAAAGTCATGCAATTTAAGAATGGGTCTGCTCACAGATACTTGCAAGGTCGCAACCGTCCAAGTTAGGAAAACTGGAGTCTCTGATAGTAATCGTACCTAAGCATAAGTGAGGGACCAATTAGTGAAACCCTTCTATAACGATCGATTTTGCGATAATAGAGCACGAATTTAGAATCATGGCAGTCGAATTACCCTAAGAGGGGTCTAGGTAAATTTCATAAAAAGTCAACAATTGACCCTAAAAAGTCAACCGAGACGCCGAGCCAATCAACTCAAAATACTCCAGAGAATATTTCGAAGAATATTCCATCGGGTCTGGATCGAGTCGGGTCACTAGGTTTCTGGTCAGATTGCATCTGGGTTAGGCCAGGTTGGATTGCATCTGGTTTGGGCCGAGTTTGCTGTGTTGGACTGGGTGCTGGGTTGGGCCGGGTTAGACCAAATGTTGGGTTCGGTTCTGTTTTGGGTTGTGGGTCGAGTTAACCCAATTGGGCTCGCAGGTCGCCGGACCCAACGAATGAGAAGGCCGGATTGTGGTCGAAATTTCCCGAGCTTCGATTAGCTTCAAAACCTAACCATTTTCTATGAGTCAAAAAGGAAAAAATGATATTAAGAATGCCAGGAACAAGAATATACCATTATGGTCCCCCGATGTGGCCGGAGTTGGTCGAAAATAGCTTCCAAACATCTCGGGCTTCGCCGGAATTAATAACTTCCCCAAGTTATCTCTGTACCATTTCACTGTCAAAACACACAGGGAACTTATAACTCGCACCAAAAAGTCATTAAAAGAGGGGTTTTGAGCATTCTCAATCCTTACCCAAGTTGGAGTAACATTGTGAATTCGTCAAACATCCCGTTCGATGCTGGAGCTATTCAATACGAGGATTTTCCACAGTTTTGTCCTTAGTTATGGGTCCAGGGATAGAGATAGGACAAGGTGGAAGGTTGGGTTGTGGGGGCAGTGCTCGTCGAAGTAGACGATGAGTCGTGGTGGTCCTCGACGTCGATGTTGTATGAGGAGGAGAGAGTTAGAGAGAGAGACGCGGGAAAAGACTGAGAGAAAAAAAAAAGTGTGAGGGGAAGATGCGGGAGAGACAGTGTGAAGAGATACCTGAGATAATTGAGGGAGGCACGAAGAGAGAGTTCGAGAGTCTTCGAGAGGGAGGGAGTGAGCCGAGAGAGATGAGCTCCAGAGAGAGCTCGGGAGAGATTCCATAGAGCTTAGGAAGGGGACACGTGGAGCAGTGAGCGTGGAGACTTTGGATGAGGTGTGGGCCCAACGGACCATAAATATTAATATTATATTTAAAATATCTAATTAAATATTTAAAATAATAAATAATAAAAATAATTTAAAATAGTAATTTAAAAAAAAAACATCTTTTGGATTCGTAAACCCGTTAAATTTGGGGACGGGTCGTTACAGGTTCAATTCTCGTTAAAGACGAATTTGAACTACATTATTGCTGGTCCATTGTGAGGCTAAGCCCACCCTCTCCTGTAGATAATACTGTTTGTTAAAAAAAAAAACATTGTATTTATTATTTATTATCTACCCTAAGTCTATAACATACACAATTAATATATTGAATAATAACATCAGGTGACAAATTATGCACAAAAAAACCTCTCATTTGGATGCGATATATTACACGCATTTAAAACAATCTGGACCGCTAGACTAATCTGACAAATTTAATAAGGCCACGCGAGAATATTGTATTAGACTACTTTGCATCTTATCGTTGCAACTCTGTCTTCCATGGCAGGCTCCCCTTCCTAGCCACCTACCTGTTGTTTTCTAAACCAAATACAATGAGAAAACAAAATTATTAACTTTCTTAGCCATACGATTCATACCCTCTAATCCAAATTTCCCATCAATCAAACTTACAATTATTTTCCTCTGGAGCCATTTGCATAATCAATTTTCTTGTTCTCGATTTTATAATGTTTTAATTGTGGGTTTGGGTTAATTTTTACTTTGCTTTCTGCAATCTGATCGTGGGTTTGATATGTTTGATATCAAACAAAGTCTCGAAAGAAGAGGAATTATAAAGGTATCTGGTAGGGCGAAGAGATGGTACATGTAGAGACTCGGGATTTGAAATTGACGGAGAAGAAACTCGAAAAAATCACTAACCAAGATATAAAAGCAGAGTAATAAAAAGTTCAGATAATTTATTAAAGCCAGCAGAGATGGGAGATGGAATAGCAGCAGGATACATAGGTAAACAGGGATGCATGCATGCATGCATTGACCGAGACGACAGATCATGGTTTATTCATGCATATATACTATAGCGTGGGTTTTAATAGTTAACTCCCAGGATTCTGTCGTTAAGAATCATTACGGAAATCAGTCACAAGAAGATTGCTCAATGCTGATGGCCCCAATGGTGACCGGCCCATTCCGGTACCTTGGCACCAAAGTGACCACCACACTAGCGGCCTTATCGGCTCCCACGTCCTTCAACAACCTCGTGATTCCCAAATACAGGTTGGTCTTAAAAGTCATGCCGTGCTTGTGCGGGACATGCACAAAGCTCCCCGCAAACTCACTCTGGCTGGGCTGACTTGGCGTGTCGGCATCATCGTTCACGTATACATCGAACTTCAAACCCTGGTCGCTCGGAAATTTAATGTCTCGCAAGATCAATATCTCCTCTCGTTCCGCCTTCTCCACGCCCTGCTTTGGTCTCGGCACCGCAATGCTGATCTTGGAGTCCAAAGAGAATCCACCTTTAGCTGCAGAGGACTGATCTTGGAGTCCTAAACCATCAGGTTTCGCCTTATTCGCTGGTTTACGTGCAGTTGGCTTGGTCTGGAGCCACGGAATGTCAACATCTTCGTAAGCATAGCCGAGTATTCCAATGTCGATCGAGTCCTGGACGTTAACACTCACCAGTTCCTTCTTCTCGTTATAGAAATAAAACTCGGCGTTAAGCCAGTCATCTTGTTCCAAATTCTTGCCTCCTATTTTCTCGAGCCACAGGTGCCACATGCGGTCCACGTTGGAGTGGTGTGCAAAAAAGATTGGATCTCGAGCGGAAGAGTAGAACTTTCCCATGTCCTCCGCACGCCACTTGGGATCACCGGTCCAGTTGTGGACCGTATTGTGGGGTATAAGCTCAATGTTTCCTCCACCGGGGTTTGGACAGTCGCCAGCCCTATAAGGTTGCCCAAAGAATAGGCACCGGTCCTTGGTATTCATCTGCCGGTTCATGGTTTTGAGGTTATTATCTATTAGCGTTTGTGGGTCTTGGGAGACGTCTGTACCACTGTAGTTGAGGTCCAGCAAGAAATCCTTCTGCCGGTGCTTGGTGTTGCGGTAATGGTCGTACAGAGGGGAGGCGCCGTTGTCGAGCTCAAACAATTCAGGCAAGTACATGCCATCAGGACTGTCCCAATTCCAAAATGGCAGAGCGAAAGTCGGGTCGTCAATAAGGCTACCGAGGATTCTCTCGTAGAAGAAGAGGAACCAGCGGTGGAAGGGAAAGAAGAGCCACGAATTATGAACTTGTATCTCCAGACATTTGTACCCAGCTAAGTTTTGATTAAACGCACCATCGCAATAGCTGCAATGAACATTAGCTTGGTTCCAGAAATTACGCGGGTCGTCAACGTCAAGGCCCTTCATGAGCTCAGTGGCTCTTCTGTACTTCTTTATGTAGTCAGGATCCTTGACAGCATTCTGAGCTGCTAGCCGAGTGCGGACTGAGCTTTTTGGGGGCGCTACTGGCTTGAAGCGAGTGGGAGTTTTGACTTCACTTGTTGGCGGACAACAATCAAGTCCTGTTACTTCGTCCGTAGTCTTGCCGCACGTGCTAAAGTCCGGAGGGGGAATTGGTGCACCAGAGGCCAATAGATTGGTGTCAAGACCAAGACCAAGACCTGCTCCTCCAAGACCAATTAACACATTTCTCCTGTCCATTTTATTTCTCCTGTCCTCGTCGGCCTCCGGCTTGATACTGCAGCTAGGGTTAATATTGTAAGCACCATTTGCTCCTTTGTGGCCTACAGAGCAGCTCCGCCTTCCCTTCCGATTTACACAGCTACTTTGGAAGGACAGCTTCTTTGGGAACAAATTATTAGGTCGACGGTCAATAACTGTGGTAGTGGGTGAAAGAAGCAGATGAGTGTTCATGGCTTGCATAAATGGTATGGTAGGTTGCTTGCAACAATGAACATGCATGCCCTCTTTATATAGAGGTACCAATTAGCACGAGAGATTTTTCAGTGTGACCGTCACATGATGCGGTACATCACGTGTTTCCATATAAATGGTGAGATATGTGCGTTAAAAAGTTAATAACTTAAAAAATAAAATTTTTCACCACTTGCATAAAAACACGTAGTGTAACACCCGTGCTTCCGTCACAACTAAAATTTATCATTTAGTACCGACAAGCCTCAAACAAACAACAATATTTTCTGGCAAAAGGACCACAGGCTTCTGTTTTATTTAATTGTAGTCACTTGAAATAAGAAAGAAAAGAAATATCATACATTTAAATTGAAAAATAAAAGAAATTAAAAAACATCTGTTCCAAGAGATGGAAGTTTGCGACAGAAAAAGGTATGAAATGGTAATTTCCACGTCATGTTTGACAACGAATGTATTCTTAATAATAATACCATATAATTTTTACTATATTACTCTCAAATATTGTGAAATTTTAATTTTCATGTTTAAAATTTGAACTTCGTAACACTTACATATTAAAATAATAAAAAAAATTATTTAAAAAAATAAAAAAAAACAAACATCACAACATCAGTCGTGCCCTTCCCCCCTTCTCTCTCTCCTTCTTCTTTCTTCTTCTTCTTCTTCTTCCTCCTTCGGGTTGGGTTGGGGTTGGTTTTTTTTTTTTTTTTTTTCCTTCTTCCTCCTCTTCTTCCTGGATTGCAGGAAGATGGTGAAGAGAGAGAGAGAGGAGGGAGGGACGAAAAGAAGAGGTTCATTTTTTATTTTTTTATGTATTTTTTTATTATTTTAATATTTAAATAATATTAAATGATTTTTTTGTTTTTAATAATATTTTATTAGTTTTTTAATAAAAAATGGGTTCCGGATCAAGCCACGTCAGCATTTAACTAAAAAATAAATGGCCAAATTAACGGAATGTATAACATTGACACAATTTCTAAAGATGAGGTATGGCATTGTCAATTTTAAAAAATAAGGTACGAAAGTGTCGTGACACCAATAATTGAGGTAGTTTTTTGTACTTTACCCTAGTTAAATTTTTACCCCGCCATTCTAATAATGTAAATGTAATCTTGTTGCAGAATATGCATACACTCTCAGAGTGAATGAGAAGAGCGATATATACAGTTTCGGCGTGGTTATTCTAGAGCTGGTGACCGGGAGACTCCCAGTCGACCCAGAGTTCGGAGAAAAGGACTTGTGAAATGGGTCTGCACCACATTGGACCAGAAAGGAGTAGACAGTGTAGTTGACCCAAAACTTGAATCTTGTTACAAGGAAGAAGTGGGCAAGGCCCTCAACATTGGCCTCCTCTGCACCAGCCCTCTCCCGATTAATCGTCCATCTATGAGACGAGTAGTGAAATTGTTGCAAGAAGTTGGCACAGAGAAACATCCCCAGACTGCTAAAAAGGAGGGGAAATTGTCACCCTATTATTACGAAGATGCCTCGGATCATGGAAGCGTAGCTTGAGACGTATGAAGTTCGTATAGTTTTCTTGCAAACAAAACGAGTGTGGGGGAAGTTTTTTATGTAAGCTTTATATTTCCAGTTTTTGAAGCTTTCTAAAATCCAACTTCCCAAATATCTCACCCTCCTCTAGGGTTTTGGTCCCAGAGATCAGGGGAGGGGAAGAAGTTGAAGAGGAAGTATATTAGAGAAGAGTAAAAGTTACGAGGGGGTTAAATTATTCCGTACTGTAAAAGTAAGCTTACGCAGTAACTTGCCCTCCTTCCTCGGTGAAAGTGATGTAAACACTGTTTAGTGATTGTGATTCTTCGTGTGAAATCAGTCAGGTGATCTATATGAAACGGGAATTGCTAAGACAATATTCTGCAATTATACCTGTTCCAGGTTTTAATGTTGTTGTGAGCTTTATACAGAGGTTTTTACCCCCTTAGAAGAACCCTATTGAGAGAACTTCACTCTGCACTTGGAACGTCACAGGAGCGGTATTTATGCATTGTAAAGTACAGCGCATAACAAACGTAATGACAATGCGTGATTAGCTTGAATGTTGGTACAGTGCGGGATTTAGTTATGCATGATAGTGCGTGATTAACTTAAAATATCGAAACAATACTTGATTAGATAAACACGTTTAAAATAAGAGTGACAATCCCATGTGCAAGTAAGCTCATCTTCCATAAATAAGACAGGTAAGGATTGGACCTCACTGGGGTCCATTGCCAACTGAGTGAAAAGTGACCCTTGTTTGAGCTGCCTCCTATGGAAAATGACCAGCAAGGACAACATCACAGAGAGAGAGAGAGAGAGAGAGAGAGAGAGAGAGGGTGGTTGCCTGTTTGGTGGGATTGATTGTCCAGCAGAGGAAATTTAGTTAGAACTTTGGAAAAATTGCTGAATCGAAACAAGCTCTGGGTGAGAGGGGAATCGTATGCAAATGGAAGCCGAAGAGGAAAGGTGGTCAGGGCCTGTACGCTGCTGCAACAGTGAGCTATAAAAGGCTAAATTAATGACCCACCCAAATGCGTGAACAAATTTGGTACCAGTTAATTCCGAGTTGTTCCATCCCGTGAGCAAAATCCAAATCCATTTTCCACCATGGTCCATACAGGCTACAGCCTCTCCAATGGATTCAATGCCGTGACTGCAGATTTAGGTCGGTGCATTTACTTTTTTGGTTATAATTAGGTACTTCACGCTGCAGCTGGTTTTCCGGTTTATAATCAGAACTGTTTATATTATAAATTAATATGTAAAAATTATTTTTATAAAAATTTAATTAAAACAAAAGTCGTTAAATCAATCAATTGTAATAATAGATAGACGATTTATAATGTATTTATCAAATTCGTCTATTTGTTTTTGTATAGTTTGATGGACTGGGATCCTCGAAATGTTCTAATTCTAAGCTTTAAATACACTATGACAACAAATTTTTTTTTTTCGAATTGATCTTAACCGTTCATTGTGTTTTGAATGCTTCGGATTAGAGGAAGAACAAGAAGGAGAAGGAGGAGGAGGAGGAGGAAGAAGAAGAAGAGGAAAAAAAGGAGGAAGGAAAAAAAAAAAAAATTCCCCCCCCCTGTCAGCGCAGAAGAAGAAGAAGAAGGGAGAAGGAAAAGGAGGAAGAAGAAGGAGAAGGAGAAGGAGAAGGAGGAAGAAGAAGAAGAAGAGGAAAAAAAGGAGGAAGGAAAATTTTTTTTAACCATCAACTCCCCTGCAGAAGAAGAAGAAGGAGGAGAAGGAAGAAGAGGAAAAAAAGAAGGAAGAAGAAAAAATAAAAATATTTTGAAAACCCATCAAATCTCAAATCCACCACTTTCATCCATTCTTCACATCCTCTTCCGCACCCATCCTCCACCTTCCCTGCTCACCCATCTTCCCACCGACGGGATCTGGATTTTTTTTTTTTTTTTTTTTCTGGGTTGCAGGAGGGAGAAGAGTGTGAGTGTGGGGAAATTGAGTGTGGGTGTAGGGGGAAGACAAATTGGATTTTTTTTTTTTTTTTTTTTGTTGGGATTTGCAGGTGGGGGAAGAAGATGAAGATGGGGAGAGGAGAGAGGAGGGAGGAGGGAGGAGGGGAGGGACGAAATGAGGGTTTTTTTTTTTTGCTTTTTATTATTATTTTAATATTTAAAAAAAATTAAATAATTGTTTTTTAGTTTTTAATAATTTTTTAATAGAAAGTAGATCCCGAATCAAGTCACGTTAGCACTTAACAAAAAAACTAACAGAAAATTTGACGAAGATATGACATTGTCACAAATTCGTAAGATACGGTATGACATTGTCAATTTTAAAAGATGAGTCGTGACCCCAATAGTTAAGGTAGTTTTTTGTACTTTACCCTACATATTTCTATCGTCTTCTTCCTTTCAATTTTATGAATTCAAAACACAAAACACATTTGCATTTGGATTTTGTTTTTTCAGGACTAGTGAGTGAGCCCAGACAGCTCAAGACAAAAGATGCAAGAATACAGAAATGTATAAGTCAAGTTTTACAGAGATGCTATGGTAGCCAATCCCAGATGGGTCTGTTTTTTTCTTTTTCTTGAAAAAAAAAAAAAAAAAAAAAAAAAAAACAATATCATCTCCACTAAAGTGGAGAGGGTAACTTTAGCCTCCCAATAAGTTCACAATAATATGGTTTAAATTCGTCTTTGGCTAGAATCGAACTTATAACCTCACATTTACAAGTAAAGAAGAATAACATTAGACCATAATACTAAGATGGATCCTAAATTTTTCATATGGGCTGGTCTTCAATCCACTTGTAGGTACGGCTATTTTATGTGTAGCAAAGCTTGTGAATTGTGTGAGATTAGGATAAAACCGAGTGTGATTTTCGATCTTCACGACCTGAAGTTGTTAATCTTCTTAACCTCGTTTTGTTAATTTTTAGCTTGAATACGATTGACCATAGTATTGAATAAATGTCAACTACCTCAGTCAAGCATAGGACTTTAGTGGGTGTCTCACCACTCGCCATAGTTGCCATTCCAGCTCCTAGAAGATTCAAGTCAACAACCTGCACGGCCATTTTCTACAACGAAAGACATAAGTCAACAGTGCATTCGAAAAACATATACAACGAACCAATGATGTGTATTCCTTACCTGCATGGCTATATGCTGTTGTGCCTGTACCAAGATGTTTTCTTGCTCTGTTTTAGACTGCCCGTTGCTGTAAAATCGTTGCAAAATGGTTCCAAATTATCTAACTTGGCTTGAATAATAAAAAAATCAGGCTTGCCCTTCAGTTTGAAAGAATAACAACCTGGCAGTAGCACGCCGGACAGTTAAAGTTTTATCACCCATTTTTAAGCCGTTGAGAGCACCGCAGGCAATGTCTGTCACAGTTGGATCCTCAAGTTCTAGAACATCAGTCGACCAGATTTTTAGGAGTGACCTCCAAGAATCATAAAACAGTATATAGGTATAAAAGAGAAAGGAGACGGCCTAAAATCAATCACTGAGAAGAAACAAACAATTGAAAAAGTAACAATCAAAATCAAAGCCAGGCTTTTGAGTATGTACCTGATAAACACAGAATCCATATCCTTTAGAGTTTCCTGTATCTTTATCCTTCACGAGGTCAAAACCATGGAGAGGCCTGCAGTGATCAATACGAAGTTAGAATATACAACTATGGTTTTATCACAAATGAGGAATGTCAAGATAGCTGGAAATTTAAGCCCATGCCCAAAGGATTGAAGCAATTCTCTAATCTGAGCTTCAGTGAAGTAGTAAGGTAACCCACCCACAAAGATACGGTCAGGTCCCTCAGCTCCACCAAAAGCACTGCCAAACAAGTGCAAAATTAGTACAACAGAAGACTTTTACAACTCAAATCCAAAAACTTCAAAAGTAATTATAGAGAGTACGAAACTAAAGTAGTCTTCAAATTGAAAAACCGAAATTGACCTACCCTTGTGTGAAACCAACGGCAGCCAAGTTAAGGTGAGGACTTGGTTGGCTGGGACCAAGTGTTGCAGCTAAAGTAGGATTGTAGTCTGTTGGCCTTCTTACCCTCACAGCAACCCCCTGATAATCAAAAGGAGCATGTCAACAAAGAAATATTTCCTCCATACCCACAGAGCACACAGAAGAATGGTTGATAGGGTTCCTTACCCAAGAGAGTTAACCAACTTAATGAGTTTGATAATACTGAAATTAGAAAAGCTTTGATCCCATAGACATGATAACATTTCAGTTCTACACTAGTTATGCTTCTTATTTTGCCCTCACATTCTTCTTTTACGGTACTTTACCATTGACACCTTCCCCTATGATGATTATAAACAGATCAAACAAAAAACAAAACTGTAATGATAACTTTTAATTGACATGCCTCAAATACAATCCCGTCTAATGCCATTGCATTACTTGCTTCTTCAACTGTTCTCATCTCCACAAATGCAAACTTCTTCTCATGATTAATATAGACATTTACAACCGCATCACCTGCAAGTTCAGATACTAGAAAACACATTGCTCTCAGATAAAACCCATGAGATCCTGAATCATGTAATACATTAAGGCACATGTTGAACCTAGTTAAAAGTGAGACTATGATTACACATACTTGAACCAACAGAATTTCTTCCAATGGCAGCCATGACTTGGCTAAAGAATGTGGCAATTGTCTGACAAAAAGATAACATTCCATCAAAGTCTTTTAAAGAATACAAGAAAGAGGCAAACAAGAATTTCAAAAATTGAAAAACAGGTTAATCAAAATTTTGGCTTATTTGTAACCCATTGCAGATGGCCCTGTAACAAACTACAGAAAGCTACCTTATAAGCTTCCTTATATACAAAGTAAATCCCTAGATTCTAGAGTGATGACACAAATGGCATCAAACTTTAGCCTATATTTGTTAGACAAATAAGGAATATGGTTGGAATCCTTGTGTAATTGTATATAATATTATTATTGGAAGAATAAGCCGTCCTACAGCCGTTAAGCCGTCCTAGCTTGTCTCCTAGCCGTCCTAGCTTGTCACTAACCGTCATAGCTTGTCACTAGCCGTCCTAGCTTGTCACTAGCCGTTCTAGCTTGTCACTAGCCGTCCTAGCTTGTCACTAGCCGTCCTAGCTTGTCTCCTAGCCGTCCTAGCTTGTCTACTAGCCGTCCTACCTTGTCCTACCTACACATTTGTATCATGTATACATATCCTTGTAATCTTGTAGAGAAAGATAATGAAAACATAAGCATTTTCTTCCATTTACATTCTCTTCCATAAGCATTCTCTTCCATTTGCATTCTCTTCCATTTTTCCACATTCATGTATCAATAACAAATATAATTTTTAGCCTACATACCTTTTTCTACATGGTATACAGAGCAGGTTTATAACCCTAGCCCTAATTTTTTTTTTCAGCAGCTTTCTCTGCCGTTCCCATGGCTGTTCGTGGCCCGTCCCGTCCCTCCTCTGCTCGTCCTCCCCTCCACTGCACCTACTGCAATTTTGATTATCATACCCGAGACACCTGCCATAAACTTCATGGCTATCCCGTTGGCCATCCCCTCCATGGCCAACCGTGGCGACCACCGCGCCGTGCCACTGCTTCCAGTTCTTCCCGCAGCCATGCACCTTCCAGTCCTCCCCAGCAGCCACAGTTTTCTGCTTCCCGGCCCCATAATTTCACCCAGGCCCATCACGTGCAAGGCACCCAGGCCCCCGCCTCCTCTTCTACTCCAGCGACCCACCAAGTGCACGGGACCCAGCCCACTTTGCATGACTTGCAGCTTGCCATGCCTGACCTCTCTGCCGAGCAGTACTCCCGTGTTCTAGCTGCTCTACGTGACACCACCACCCATCCTCAGGCCAATGCCGTGCTCACTACTGATTTTGCCCAAGGTTTGTTACCTGTCACCTCTCGTCATGGTCAATGGATTCTTGACAGTGGTGCTACGGATCATATTACTTCTTCCGCTTCATGTTTGGTTAATCGTTCTCCTTCACATTTGCCGCCTGTTTCTTTGCCTAGTGGTGCTTCCGTTCCCATTACTTTTACCGGCACTCTTCCTTTAAATTCCTCAGTTACTTTGAAGGATGTTTTATGTGTCCCTAATTTCCGAGTGGACCTTTTATCGGTTGGTAAACTTACAGATGGATTATCGTGTTCCATAACCTTCTTTCCTTCTTGGTGTGTTTTGCAGGACTTGGTTTCGAAGGCGATGATTGGTGTGGGTAAGCGACGTGGCGATCTGTATTACCTTGTGGCCCTTACCTCTTCTCTCCCCACCCATCAACCTCTCTGCAACATCATTACCATCCCCTCCTCCCTCTGGCATAGGCGTCTTGGTCACCCCTCCTCCACTCGTTTGCAAGCTTTAGCATCTAGCTCTCTTAATTGCACTTTTGATTCTAGTCATATTTGTGATGTTTGTCCGTTGGCAAAACAAACTCGTCAACCTTTTCCTTTGAGTTCAATTTCATCAACTTTCCCTTTTGCTTTAATTCATTGTGATATTTGGGGCCCGAATCGTCAATCTTCTCTTTCTGGTGCTAATTATTTCTTATCCATTGTGGATGATTTTTCTCGCTTTACGTGGGTCTTCCTCATGAAACATAAATCCGACACTCAACAATTAATTAAGGATTTTTTTGCTTATGTCACTACCCAATTCCGCACTACCATCCAATGCATTCGTACTGACAATGGTGGTGAATTTTTATCTCTTCGTAGTTTTTTCTCTGATCATGGGGTGCTTTTACAAACTTCTTGTGTTTATACCCCCCAACAAAATGGCGTTGTTGAAAGAAAACATCATCATCTTCTTGAAACCGCTCGCGCCCTTCGTTTTCAATCCCATCTTCCTATCAAGTTTTGGGGGGAATGTGTTCTTACCGCTACTTATCTCATCAATCGTCTCCCTACCCGTCTTCTCCATCATAAATCCCCATTTGAAGTTCTCTTTTCGAAAACCCCATCTTATGACCACTTCCGCGTCTTTGGTTGTCTGGCATATGCCACCTCTGTCACTCCCACCACCAAATTTTCCCCTAGGGCTCATCGTTGCATTTTTCTCGGTTATCCTCATGGACGAAAGGCCTATACCCTTTACGATCTCGACAATCACCGCATTTTCACTAGTCGAGACGTCATCTTTCACGAAAGTACTTTCCCTTATGCCGTTTCTCACCCTCCTATCTCATCCTCTTCGCCTACCCTACCCATCCCACCCCCTCTGGACTTTACATATAACCCACCCCTTCCTGCCCCGACGCCTCACCCTCCTCCACCTTCCTCCCCTTCCACGCCTCCCACAGATTCCCTTGCTGCCCCATTACCCGTTCCTCCCCATGCCCCTGCCCTCTCGGCATCCCCTCCTTCCCCCTCCCGCTACTTCCTTACCTTTCACCCTTTTACCCACAGACATCCCTACCCCCCCACTACCTACCAATCCTCCCCTTCCCCGCACCTCTTCCCGTGCCCATAAACCTCCATCCTATTTAAAAGACTACGTTTGCTCGCAGGTGATTCTGCCATCCCACCCATCTTCGACTTCGCAACCCGGTTCTACACAAGGTACGCGATATCCACTTTGTAATTTTCTCTCTTATCACCGTTACTCTCCCCGGCATTTTTCTTACATTAACTCTGTCAGTCGGACTGTGGAGCCTTCCTCCTTTGCCGAGGCTGCCACTGACCCCAATTGGCAACGTGCTATGACTGAGGAGCTTCAAGCTTTACATGCTAATGGTACTTGGACTTTAACTTCCTTGCCCCCTGGCAAAATTCCCATTGGTTGTAAGTGGGTGTACAAACTCAAGCACAATTCCGACGGCTCTATTGACCGCTACAAAGCTCGTTTGGTTGCTAAAGGCTTCACTCAGGCTGAAGGTATTGATTATCATGACACTTTTTCTCCTACTGCTAAGATGATTACGGTGCGTTGTCTTCTTGCTCTTGCTGCTAGTCAGTCTTGGTCTCTTCATCAGCTTGATGTTAATAATGCTTTCTTACATGGTGACTTACATGAAGAAATCTATATGTCTCCTCCTCCTGGTCTTCGGCGACAGGGGGAGAATCTTGTGTGTCGCCTTCACAAGTCACTTTATGGTCTTAAGCAGGCTTCTCGCCAATGGTTTGCCAAATTCACTAGTGCCATCATTTCTGCCGGTTTTCAACAATCCAAAGCTGACTATTCATTGTTCACTAAAAAGTCTGGTATTTCTTTCACAGCTTTGCTCATTTATGTGGATGATATTGTAATTACAGGCAATGATGCTAGTGCCATTAATTCTCTGAAGTCTTTTCTCCGTGATCATTTTCGGATAAAAGACCTTGGTGATTTAAAATATTTTTTGGGTATTGAGGTTTCTCGTTCCAAACAAGGGATTTATATTTCTCAACGCAAGTATGCATTAGAGATTCTCAAGGACTATGGTTTTTTGGGAGCACGACCCATTGCTTTTCCTATGGATGACACAAAATTATCTGATAAAGGAGAACTTCTCAAGGATCCTGAAAAGTATCGACGATTAGTAGGTCGGTTAATATATCTCACTATCACTCGGCCGGATATCACCTATTCTGTGCATGTTCTAAGCCGTTTTATGCACGAGCCAAGGATATCTCATATGGATGCTGCGCTTCGTATTGTTCGTTATTTGAAGGCTACTCCAGGTCAAGGTTTATTATTTCGTTCTGACAACCAGACCAAGTTAACTGCGTTTTGTGATTCTGATTGGGCAGGTTGCCCTATCACTCGCCGTTCGACTACTGGGTATTGTGTATTCTTGGGCGGTTCTTTGATTTCTTGGCGGACGAAAAGACAGAAAACCGTTTCGCTCTCTTCAGCAGAGGCGGAATATAGGGCCATGGCAGGTGCTTGTTGCGAGATAGTTTGGCTTCGTTTTTTGTTGAAGGATTTGAACATTCCTTTGGATGGTCCTTCCATTTTATTTTGTGATAATCAAGCAGCGTTACATATAGCTGCCAATCCTGTTTTTCATGAACGAACTCGTCACATTGAGATGGATTGTCACTTTATACGAGATAAGATTGTAGATGGCATAATAGAGACCAAGCATGTGGGTACGGCACAACAGTTGGCAGACTTGTTTACCAAACCTCTTGGGAAAGAAAAATTTTCGGGTATGTTACGCAAGTTGGGAGTTCTTGACATCCACTCTCCAACTTGAGGGGGAGTGTTAGACAAATAAGGAATATGGTTGGAATCCTTGTGTAATTGTATATAATATTATTATTGGAAGAATAAGCCGTCCTACAGCCGTCAAGCCGTCCTAGCTTGTCTCCTAGCCGTCCTAGCTTGTCACTAACCGTCCTAGCTTGTCACTAGCCGTCCTAGCTTGTCACTAGCCATTCTAGCTTGTCACTAGCCGTCCTAGCTTGTCACTAGCCGTCCTAGCTTGTCTCCTAGCCGTCCTAGCTTGTCTACTAGCCGTCCTACCTTGTCCTACCTACACATTTGTATCATGTATATATATCATTGTAATCTTGTAGAGAAAGATAATGAAAACATAAGCATTTTCTTCCATTTACATTCTCTTCCATAAGCATTCTCTTCCATTTGCATTCTCTTCCATTTTTCCACATTCATGTATCAATAACAAATATAATTTTTAGCCTACATACCTTTTTCTACAATATTGCCTGTTCATCTCCACTCCAGTATAGAGTCAAAACACTTGCTATGACTTGGGAAAGAATCCAGAACTATAACCTGCTCATTAGCCAAGGGAGGAAGCCCACCAACGTATACCCGACGTGCATGCCTTGTAGCCTGCTAGAGAGAAATATATATATACTGCTCATCGGCCAATGACAAAGACACCATTCATGTATTTATGAGAAAAATAAATTGCAAATTTATATATATGAACATAAATACAATAAATTTACCTGCTGAGTCATGGCTTGAGCTGGCATCAATGGAAGAGCCATCTGTAACAAGCAAAAGCATATGAGTTATTCACAAAGAACACAAAAGAAAAATAGAACTCAAGATCCCATAGAAGCTTATACTGGTGAAACGTACATGCAATGCCCCAAAAGGTAATGAATTTTGTACCACTCCAGGCATTGTTTGTGGAATACCTGACAGTTGTCCTGCATTATTATTATTGAAGCAATAACAGAAGGATCAGTAGTATAGCTATACAGAAAAAATATGTCACAACTACACTAGTAATGAAAGCCATCTGAAAGCCCAGAAGTATCTTTTACATTGAAAAAGCTAAAATTTCATACCTAAGATATACCATGAAATAATAAAGAAACAAATTCCATCATTGCGGATGGTAGGGAAATATCTGTAGGTCAACCAAATGTCAACTGTATCAGTCGAAGGAGAAGAATGTCCAGCTAATCATTCCATTGGTTCTCCCTTGAACATCAATTGATGTAGTCATGCCAATCGCCTTCTTACCCAAACCATAAAAGCAAACACATACAAACAACAACACAACAACAACCAAACAACACAACAATGGCTCTCAGTTTCCAGAGTAAAACAATAAGAAAGATAACTTCTAGCATGCTCATATAAATAACAGGAGGTCAGGAAGCTATTCTCGAATGGAAAGTGCTAAATATACTTTGACAAGAATTTGGTGATCGAGTAGTCAGATCCAAACCTGAAACGGAAGCATTAGGCAGCACTGACCCAGCAGGTGGTGCCATGTCAAAACCACTTGTACGCTTGCTATAGACAAGGATTTCAGCAAGATTACAATGGAGCAATGCGGCTTTCATGACAAAATACTAACAGCATCCATATTATGTTTTAACCAGCTAAAGCTTTTGAAATAGGAAATAATGTTTGAACAACATTACTCAACACGAAATGCATAACCTAAAGGAGCAAGAAAGATATATTTCTCATCAACTAAAAAGACAATCAGATGTGTCATGATCAAGATAACAATATGAAAGTGAATGTTTATGTAAAAGTTTCCCGAACCTCTTTGAACGGGAACAAGAAGGAGATCTGTCCATTGAGCGAGAAGGAGAACGTGACCGTGATCTATGTCTATGCATCCTTTCTCTATCTTGATCATAATGACGATGCCTACAAGATAAACATACAACGTAAGCAAACCTAAAGTTGAAAAAACAACTTCACTTGATAACTCCACAATGCAATTGAGATTATGCGAACAACTTGGATAAGTTTATTTCATTAAGAAGCACATGTTTAACCTGTCGAAATCTTGGTTTCTACCGCGGCGATGGCCATCGTACGAGTTTCTCCCTCTGTCAAATCTTCCACTTTTATCCTTATACTCCCGTGTATAACGGTCACCATCTTTTGCTCTATCTTGACCTTGGTCTCGCTCTCAGTCTCTCCACAAGCTCTCACGTTCTGATCCACGAGAATTGTGCTGAGGCAGAGGCAATTAAAACATCACTCAGCAATTCGATAATCGTCACACAAACATACACAACAGAAAATCGCGATCCGAAACTACGTATGCATCACTCTTTACAACTACTTAGCATTCAAATCAAGTAATTCATTTCAAATTCAGCGTTTCCTCTAAGGAAAAGGGATTCATACTCAAATATACCAAATTACTGCCTAATTTCATGTCCTAAGTGATTTAACAAACAGAAACAATAACATCTTACTCTGGAAAACCATAAATAAATTATTTACCCAAATCTAATCCGATTGGACAAATTAACATATCGAAAATGAACAAATTGACAAATTAAAAGAGAAAGCATGGTTTCAGAAATTGGCTTAACAAATTAACAGAAGGGAATTTAGAAAAGAACCATTGGACGCTATCGCTATTGGGCCTGATTGGACTGCGCCGACTCCGTAATTTTAATCCAGGCCCACATGTAAAAAACAGCTTTTCTTCAGATTAGCCCGCTATATTAAACGGGCCTAACTCAGACAGTGAACTCCCACAAGCTGCCTCATTAACAAAAAAAGCCCATTCGATGAATGCTTGTTATGCTTTCTTCTTTTATTGTACTGGATTTATTTGTGTCCGAGATTTTCATCATAAATTTAATTTTTTAAGCCGAAATAATCACCATTGCCCTTGTTCAACGAGTAAAAGAGTAATAGTACATTGTCATTCAGCTGCCCTTGCCCCTTTAACGAGTGGAATTGCTTTGACTAGCATATAAAATAAGGAATCTTATTAAACAATCTCCTTACTATTCACTTTTAACGTTAAAAATATTTTTTACCTTGAAAAATCACACCTGGTACTATTCACTTACACCTTTGTTTTGTCATTTGCATAAGACGGTCTCATTTTTCAAACAATACATGTTTACACCTATCTAATGCAAGTGTTAATTTATGCTGAAAATTAATAAAATAAGATCGTCTGCATGTTTTCACTTGGCCACGAAGGAGATTTGTATTTTGCAGTAGAGGCTGATTAGCATGATAAAGCCTACATTGAACATGTAAATGAGGAGGATAGGAGAATTGTTTATAAGTCAACACACCATATTTAATTGTAACAATTGACAAATACACACACACACACACCTGTTTTTGCACCTTTAAATGTTAGTACTAACATGGTAAAATACCAAAAACGTTTTTTGTAAATTTGCACCAATAAAATGACATGTTAATCCTAATGCAAGTGTTAATTTGCACCATCTACTGATAAGCTTATGGTTATCAAATCCAAGAACATGGTTTGTTATGGAGAAGCTCGGGATGATTTTGTTAATCTATTATTTAGTTTCCTAAAGAAATGCAAGATAGCTCTTCCTCTTCAAAAGACTGCATTGATAAGTGATAATTGTCGAATAGTTTAGGGGTGGAAAAGAATGACATACTAGTGTAGTTGAGTCCAATACTAAATGTATGGACTCTAACAAACAACCACATAAAAGATGACATTTAATTTGATGTGCAGTTTCGGTTTCGGTGCGGTTTTCAAAAGCCAAAATCAAAACCAAACCGTTTCCTACTTTACGGTTTGGTTTCAAAACTGCAACCGTTTCAAAACCACAAAATCAAACCGTTTAATGCGGTTCGATTTGATTCGTGTTTCGGTTTTCGAATTCAAGTGCCCACACTTAAGATCTATTCCCCTTAACTAGGTTCAGGATACCGTACAAACCACGTACGTGAGCGCTGACGCACCAACGCATGAAACATTTCAGGAATGACTGTGATTAAATTAAAGCCTGAAAAATGGCCTCCGAAAGTCAAGGTCAGCTAACTTGATGCAAGTCTGACAATACTTTTGATGCTTTAACCTCTACTTTTTGGACAAAGTTGGACCATCCCCAATAATCTGCTACTATATCGATATTTTTTTGTTTTTTCTTGGAAATGGAACGATAACGATTTTATTTTATTAGGAAATCGACATACAATTATCCAATAGAAAATTCTAGATTAAATTTGGAGGATTCTGAAACCACTGAAAGGTAGATAAAAAATCTAAAATCAACTTATCCATTCTACGAGCCATGTGTATATTCACGACCACATGTGCGATGTGTGAGCCATGGAAATTCATGTCCCCATGTTGATAAAAACAAAACATCAAAAATCTTGCCGCGTATTTGGAAAATTTACTCTTTTTTCTGGGGTTGTTTCTTTTTCGGTGGTTGAGCGAAAACGATTTAGATATTGGGAGGTTATGTATACAAGGCTTTTTAAATACAAGTGATATTTTATTGTAAATTAACATTGTAAAAGTAAAAATTTAAACTCATACTAACGTGATACATTCTTTTTTAAAAAAAATTTTGTCGAAAACAAAGCAAGCAATTTCATTGAAAGGAAAAGGCCCAGTACAAGTACATCAAATTAGCCGAATAAGGTGGGGATATCAAAAGCCCAATCAACAAAAAATGCAGAAGAAAAAAAATTATAATCCTCATCCCGCATAGCTCGACACCACCGCTGCCATCACCTCGCCAACGACCACATAAGTAGTCGCTCGAAGAAAACTAACTTCGTCTTGAATTTGATGAAGGTGTCGTAGCACAAAACAAATCGACATGCAACAAGGAAAAAGCCCCAACCAAAACCGCTAAACTGGAAAAGAGCCAATAGATATGAACACTCTTTAATTAGTGTAGTTATGGGCTTATTTGAAATTGTTTTTAAAATAATTGAAAACGTTTTTTAAAAATATGTTTTTGGGTTCTAAAAAGTACATAGCTGGTGTTTCTTGCAGCACATTTAACCATTTTAAGAACACTTCTAAACACGTTACATTTATCGAAAATAAATAGTCAAGGAATGGGGAGGGGGATATTTTGATTAAGAAAATGTTTTATTTGCAATTTTTTTGTTATCAACTTGTAAATTACATATTTTGGTGCTAACGTACATGAATGCCGGCCTTGAATTTACCATGAATTTGTAGGGCTGTGGTGATTTTCTTTGGCGCATAATGACCGCGTACTTGTATTGACTTAAGACTTGATAAAAGATTTATACAATTGTCTATCTTTTTTCATTTATTCTTAAATTTTGGTAACAGTTTAGGAGCTTCACATAGTATTTAAACTATTACTGTAATAATATCAATACTCACATCTAATTTGTACTCTCGCCAAATTATAACGTACGATCAAAGTATCTTTTTTTACAGTTTTTTTTATTAACATCCCACATGTTGTTAAATACACTCTACATAAAAACTTTAATACTAAACAACTTATAACTTTAATATGAAATGATTGTTCAAGCCCTTACAACACTCTTACTCTCTATTGTAGAACAAAACTCTAAAAAGACAAATACGTTGATGAAAATTACTTTTGATGAACGGAACATAAAATCAAGTTTTGCTCCTCGTTCATTCGTTGGTTTTCACATTTAAGAAATATTTAAACAATGGAATATAAAATTGACATTTTGCAAAGCCCTGCTCTAATTGAAATCCAAGAAATAGGAAGAAAAGTGGAGAATGTTGTAAAATTTTAGGATGTAACTAAATGTAATATTCTTGTTGTTGTTTGATGATGAGGAAATTCAATGTTTCTTGGCTGGTGGGAACTGGAGCAGTGCCATTAGACATATAACCTTTCAAAGGAATTTGGAATTGGGTTATAATCTTTCATAAAATAATGTATAGCGGTTGGCAGTTTTTAAACAAACAAATGTGTTCCTTTTTAGAATCTGAAAACACAAACGGGAAAAGCCATTTACACAAATAGATATGACCTTATAAGAACAGTTCCTATCATTTGTCCATCAGGTTTTTTAGAATCTAACATGATTGTTTAAGAAAATTTGAAAGAGTACTTGGATATCTTTAAAATGTGGATTATTTTTGTTTGAAAAAGATGAAGAGTTTGATGTGTGGTTAGTTGATGATTGTGGGGTGTATGAGATGTGAGGTATGAAGGTAGTATTGAAAAATAAATGGAGTATGTTAAGATAAATTTTAATCTAAAAAATAAATATGAGATATATTAAATCTATAGGGCGTAGTCAATAAAAGGTGAGGTATTAGTAAAACGGCCCTTTCTTATTGACGTATCTCTCGTCACATCATATTTCATATTAATTGCACCTACACGAAGATATTCGGCTGAAAAATATTTAGAACGTGGACCATGCAAAGAGTATACATGTGGTTAGGGTATGTAGAATTTGTAGCCATAAACTTTGGATTGGCTTGCCACATCAATACAGCACATGCTTGTTTATATATATATATATATATATATATATATATATATATATTCTTTAAAAGAGGTGATTTTATCACGTTAGTCCATATTTTTAAGGATTAAAAAGACTCACATAGGTATTTTAACTTCTTCCTAACCATTTAACGGTGCGATGAATCGAACCTCGAACATGATGTGTGGAATACAAGTCTTGAATTGATCTTCAACCACCGAATCGCCTCGTGATGGCTTGCTTGCTTAGTTCTTTAGTGACATTATTAATGTTACGATTCTCCGATATTGTATCACACTGATCAACAATACTACACTCCAGCGTGAAGATAAAATTTTAAAATGTGAAAAAAATATTAATAAATGATATTTAATTATTTATAATATTACATTTGTCAAATAGTTTCCACACGTTTACTTAATAATATTCTTATTATTTTTGTATTCTTGATTGTCACACATTTGATATTCAACTTGGCATCAGAGCAGATTTGATCATTTGAAATTTAATCTGCCCTTATTTCGTATCATTTTGTTTCTCTGCCTTGTTCGTTGTTTAAATTGTCGTCAGTTTAGTTTGAAAAAGAAAAAAAAAATGTCATCGCGCTAAGCCACCAGAGCCCCGCCGCATTGGAGCCAAGCCGGAACCTAAAGCCTGTAACCGAAGCCACCGCACACACCAGATCCTACCCAGAAACCCCTCAACTTGCACTTGCTGCATCTGCGTCAGTTTGAACCACCGCTACACCAG